ATCCCGTTTTATGGCAGTACTATTTGGTGTAACTAATGCTTTGCAAGAGTATCATGACCGTTTCCAGGGGTGAGAGTGTAACTGATAGTTTATATTGAACAAAATAACTGTCTGGATTTGATCAGTTTAAACATACAGTGTAGGTAATTTAAAATAATGAATACTTGCATGTTGTTATAAAATGGCTTTTCCATTTTAGTTGTATTTTTACAGAAGAGAGAACATAATACTAAGTAAATACTGAATTAAAGGAACAGGACTGACAAGAACTTTATTTATAACAACATTTGATCAATACTTATTTGTATGTTATTAACCATTAATTTCACATTGCCAGGATTACTTTTAGTGCCAAAACACCCTGCAGTGTAAATGTGCAGATTCAGTATTTATTTATTTTTTACTCAATGTTATCTTTTGCAGTGCTGGATTAAAAAAAATGTGAGGATTAGTGAGGAGTATAAACTTAACCCCATTGTTGTTTGAGTAAAATATATATATATATATATACATTTGGTAACACTTTTCTTAAAGGAGGTGTTCATAAGACTGACACTTGTTATGAATCTGAATAAGATGTTATGCATTTGGTGCAAAGATGACTTTATGACAACTAATACACTACAACCTGTTTTTGTCAAGGTTGTGACAAACTGACATTACCAAGACAACAAACTTGTCATAAATCTGTCATAAACATAATTGTCGTTAGGCCATTGCTTTTTTGTCTTAACTATTCTAATAACTTTTTCAGTGGAACAAACTGTATTTGTCATTAAAATGTAATCTTAAATTTGTCATTACTCTGTCAAACAATTTTTTAGTGTCATATTTAATTACATTTTAATGACAAATTTAGCTTGTACCACTGTAGTTGTGGTAATAAGTCAGAATTATTAGACCTCCTTTGAAATTTCTTTTTTTTTTTAAATATTTCCCAAATAATGTTTTATGAGTTCACACTTAGCTGGTTATTTAATATAAGCTTGTTTGGCATGCTGTCCTAGAAGAGAGCTCTGAGCTTAAGGTGTCCTTGAGCCCAGGCTCCCTCCTGATCGTAGAGCGAGAGGGAAGCTTGAGCTTAGGTAGATTGCTAACTCTCGGCTGCGGTAGCTATAAGGAAACACTTGAGGAGGAAGGGAGTAGACGATAGCCTGAATTGCTTAATCTGTTGTGAATTATGTAAATCTTTGGATGGTGGGAGGAAATCGGAGGACCCCGGGGAAACTCACGCGGACACAGGGAGAACACACAAACTCTGCACAGAAACTTCCACCAGCCGGGCAAGGACCAGAGCTAGCAGTGTTCTTGCTGTGGGGCAACAGTGCTAATCACTGGGCCCCTGTGCCGTCCAATCTATGGAAAGGAGGGTTTCTTCCATACGAAGATAACTCTGGGCTGAAATTGTGGTTATTTAAGTAAATGGGGAATCATATGATCGTAATTAGTTAATGTGAGATCAGCCATGATAAATCATAAGCACGTGATCCTCTCGAAATTTGTTTATAAGTAAACATCACTTGACAGAGCACGGCAATTTTTACAGCATGTCTGATAATATTTTGTCTTCTGGAAAAAGTCTTATTTGTTTTATTTCGGCTAGAATAAAGCAGTTTTCAATTTTTTAAAGGCCATTTTTTGGACAAAATTATTAGCCCCTTAAAGCTAATTCTTTTTTTGATAGTCTACAGAACAAACCATCCTTATAATAACTTGCCTAATTACCCTGACTTGCGAAGTTAACCTAATTAACCTAGTTTAGCCTTTATATGTCACTTTAAGCTGTATAGAAGTTTCTTGAAAAATATTTTTAAAAATTATTCACTGTCATTATGGCAAAGATAAAATAAATAATTTATTAGAAATTAGTTATTAAAACTATTTTGTGTAGAAATGTGTTGAAACTATCTTCTCTCCATTAAACAGAAATTGGGGAAAAATTAAACGGGGGGCTAATAATTCAAGGGGCTAATATTTCTGACTTCTACTGTATGTGTGTGAGTATATGTGTGTTTCAACATTTCTAGAACTGCTCGATCGTGCAGATTCGCACTCTATAACATCAGAAAGATCCGACCCTTCTTATCTGAACATGCAGCTCAACTCCTTGTTCAAGCTCTTGTTCTCTCCAAACTGGATTACTGCAACTCTCTACTAGCTGGGCTTCCAGCTAACTCTATCAAGCCTCTTCAACTGCTCCAGAACGCAGCAGCACGAGTGGTCTTCAATGAACCTAAACGAGCACATGTCACTCTGCTGCTAGTCCGTTTGCACTGGCTGCCAGTTGCTGCTCGCATCAAATTCAAAACTCTGATGTTTGCCTACAAAGTGACTTCTGGCCTTGCTCCTTCTTATCTGCTCTCACTTCTGCAGATCTATGTGCCCTCCAGAAACTTGCGTTCTGTGAATGAACGTCGCCTCGTGGTTCCATCCCAAAGAGGGAAGAAATCACTTTCGCGAAAGCTCACGCTCAATCTGCCCAGTTGGTGGAATGAACTCCCTAACTGCATCAGAACAGCAGAGTCACTCGCTATTTTCAAGGAACGACTAAAAACTCAACTATTTAGTCTCCACTTCACTTCCTAATCTGCAATTGCCTCTCTGAATATCACACTAACTGTACCCAAAAAAAAAAAAAAAACTAATACTGCTAATACTTTCCTTCTTAGACTTTACAGACCTGAAACTTGCCTATAGCACTTATTCATTGTTGCTCTTGTAGTTGTGTAAATTGCTTCCTTGTCCTCATTTGTAAGTTGCTTTGGATAAAAGCGTCTGCTAAATGACTAAATGTAAATGTAAATGTGTGTGTGTGTGTGTGTGTGTGTGTGTGTGTGTGTGTGTGTGTGTGTGTGTGTGTGTGTGTGTGTGTGTGTGTGTATATATATATATATATTTAAGCTTGATATAATGGCTTCATGACAATCATGTTAATGACAGATTTATGACAAGTTTTTATGTATTCTTGGTAACATCAAGTCGTCATTACAGAGAAAAACAGGTTGTGATGTATGTTTGTCAAGTTGTCATATCAAACAATATAATCTAAAATGATATAACTGAGCAAATGACACTTAATAACAGTTGTGTTAAGCATGCATAACATTACATTCATGTGTCATAATTATAAAGTTTTATGACAGTCTTAAGAACACCCCCTGAGTACAAAATATTTTAGAGTAAAAAGTTGTAAAAAGCTGTAGCATAATCTTTTTTTGTCATATTTAATTGGCTCTTGTCATCGTTGTTGGCTCTTGTATCTTAAACTAGTACTCCCATTCATCATTTGTAAGTCTCTCTGAATAAAAGCATCTGCTGTATGACCACAAGTACATTTTGTTAGCGATACTATTTCTCCCTTTTCAAGGCCACGTGTCTCATCATTAATTATTTTATGAGCAGTAAGGAGAGATGGATAGTCCTGCTAGTTTAGCTTGAACGCACTTCAAAGATGTCTGGCTTGTTGAAAGTGGCAGAGTTGAAAATGACACAAGACTTTGTCAACCTAAACATCACAGTTAATTACATCTTTTCCCTTTGCTCGGTTAACAGCTGCCAGACACCTGCTACGAGCTAATAAATCAGCTCAGTTACAAAGCAGATTTGTTTATGTCACCTTTTCATACCCGTTCTGGAGACAATAAATATGCCAGCCACAAGTCTGGCCCACAGCATTACGCAGCTTAATACACACACAAACATATGAAGACATCTTTTTTTTTCCAAAATAGAGTCTCGCCATGGCAGATTTCATAATATGACCATAATGTGTTTATAATGAATAGAAGTGCCCTGGAAATGAAGACAAGTATATTTATTACTAAATAAGTACTCATTTCCCAGTCAGATTACAGAGCTGTGTTTGGCAGTCTGTGGTGATATTAAAACGAAAAAAAAAAAAATCCTTAAATGGAATCATATGGGTTTCTCAATTTTGTTGTTCTTTTGAACTCAGTCTATGGAGGACCAAACCTGCAAAAAATAAATAAATAAATTATAATAATAAATAAATGCATAAATATATAAATTAATGTACAACAAAAATAGAAAAATAAAGTAATAAATTATTTAAAAAAAGTTTTTATTTGTATTTTATTTAAGTTTAAGCCCAAATTAATTGGTTTATATTTTTCCTTTATTATTTTTTGCATGTATTTTTGCTTTATATTTTATTTGTTTGTCCATTTATTTATTTTATATTTATTTAATACATTCATTTTCTTAGTCCCTTTATTTATCTGGGGTCGCCACAGCGGAATGAACCACCAACTTATCCAGCAAGTTTTTACGCAGCGGATGCCCTTCCAGCTGCAACCCATCTCTGGGTAACATCCACACACACTACAGACAATTTTAGCCTCCCCAATTCACCTGTACCTGTCTTTGGACTGTGGGGGAAACCGGAGCACCCGGAGGAAACCCACGCGAACGCAGGGAGAACATGCAAACTCCGCGACCTTCTTGCTGTGAGGCGAACGTGCTACCCACTGCGCCACGGCGTCTTATTTAATACATCATTTATTTATTTATTTATTTATTGATTTATTTATTTATGTGTTTTTATTTTTATATTTATTTAATATATCATTTATTTATTAAATTATTTATTTATTTGTGTGTTTGTTTATTTTTATATTTATTTAATACATTATTTATTTATTTTCGTATGCATTTGTAGTTTAGTGATCTTAGTAGTCTATCTTTGGAGAATTTTTTTTCAATCCTGATGTGATTTTATGACCATTTGATGAATAGAAAGTTTGACCTAACAGCCTTTATTTAAAATATATTTTTGGTTGTGAAATTTGTCTTTTACTGTCACATGTAACATGTTTAGCAATTCCATGCATGCTTGATGAATAAATTGAATAATATAATGTAAAAATTTTGAATAGTAGTGTAAGAGGCTACTTCATTTTCTTGTTCTACTTTTTATTATGAAACTATTTATAGTTGTAATTATTAGCCTATTTATTTTATTATTTTCTTTCCTTTTGCAGTAAGCAGCGATGGGAGAAAGAACAGAAATTTGCATTCTGGAACAATTTAGATGATGAATGCAGTCAATCAGTTCCTCAAAAGGTCACCCGCAAACACACGTCATCTGATAGCTTTCATTTGAATTTACTGTCCAAATTCTTCAACCCTTTTAAAACATTTTTTCCAGGTACTTTGGGAATAATCAGAGCTGTATCACTACTGAAAGTGTCTGCGATACCCCTAAATAAATTTTTGGCTGTCTGATGATCCACATTCAGAGGGAGAGAAGCAGCTGCAGCAATGTGATGAGGTCTGCAGTTCTCAGCCCAGCGGTTGCACAGCCTGAACAGTCTGGCAACGATGAAAAATACCTGTCCTCCTTGAACCAAACTATTCATAGGGAAGGCCTGAAGATGTGCAGCTTGTCTGAATCTCCTGCATCAATAGCAACAGATGATCTGGATTTGGTCTGTTCCACAGAAAGAGCCATTTTATCGTACATCAGTGGCATAAAGACTGACTCATCCTGTAACTTTTCGCACACTGGCGATACACTATCCCCTAGCTTATTCTCCCTTTCCCCGTCCCCCTCATCTTTCAGTGCCTTTTCTCCATCCTTCTCATCCCCTTCCTCCAGTCACTCTTCAGGCTCCATGTCAGAGCTGTGCTTGACTTCTCCATCGCTTTCAGCCCTCTGTGGTCCACCTGAGACCCAGGAGCTTCTCTACAGTTGCACAGCACAGCCTCCAGAGCAACACCTGTATCCAAAATCACCTAAGCAAGAACCAACTGCTGAGTTTCATCTTTGTAGCAAGAAGCTTCTAGACAAGGAAGAACTTTTCCAGTATCGCAGCAGTGACTGCAAGGAGCATCTTAACTTTCACCATTTTCAGACAAAAGAGCAGTTCAAGAATAGTTTGGCATTGAGTGGAGTTGAGGGAATGAACGGGCATCTAAGTGAACAGCAGCCTTGCAAATGGATGGATTGTAGGGCTACCTATGGACAGAGAGAAGAACTGGTGAGGCACATCGAGAAGATCCACATAGATCAGCGGAAAGGGGAGGAATTTACCTGCTTTTGGGCAGGATGTGTTCGTCGACACAAGCCCTTTAACGCTCGGTACAAACTGCTCATTCACATGAGAGTGCATTCTGGTGAGAAGCCCAACAAATGCATGGTAAGTTCAGGTTTTGTGTTTGTGTGTGTGTATGGGTGTGTATTGTTAACATAACGCTGTCCTGATGTCATCTTTAGGAAGTTTTATATGTGGTGTTATTGCAAAAACGGGTCAAACAAAGTTCCTCACACTTGTGTTATCATTTGACACACATTTCAGCATACAATTTTTTGGTGTTTAAAACACGTCTAATAGACGTCCAAACATTTTTCTTTGCTAAAAACAGGCTAAATTTGGGCTGTCGTTTATTAGACGTCTAAAAATAGTCAAAAACTAGACTAGTCAAGAATCATTAACTACACATGTGAACTCTGTTTAATCTTGTTGTTTTGGACTATTGTTAGATGGGCATTAGATTTCCACTCACACCCCAAATGTAGCCTTGTTTTAGTCAAGACCTCTATGTTTATACATCTATGAGTCATCTTTTAAAAACAACAATTTAGAAGAGAATAGAAGAGAATTATGAGTAAATAAACTAATTTCATTTTTCAGTATTTGCACAAATTATTTTTAACCACACTTGTCTGCATGCTCAATTGTAAGTCGCTTTGGACAAAAGCGTCTGCTAGCTAAATGACTAAATGTAAATGTTGTCTATTTAGAATGTTTAACACTTTTCTATATAAGAGGGTTGAACATTCTAGATTGAAAAATGCAGTAAAAACTACAGTTTGTTATTGTAAAGAAACAAAAACAAAGAATGAACATGGAACATTTGAGGTTATGATCAACTACAAATTAATGTAATGTTTACACCTCAACATGTACAGCAAAGTTTTAATAAACAACAACATTTTAAGTATAGATATGGGCATTATAAAAACCACATAACAAAAATCCACATAAATGACTAAAAATGCTGTTATTTGCATGCCAGGCCAGTAAGTGGTGTCACTTATGAGCAATTCCATGCAAATGTCAACCATGCCATAACAAAAAAAGGTAATTTTCACCAAGATAGTGAAACTTGTGTAGGATTGTATTTTCCAGTACTGTTACAATAGTCCAAAATGTCTCTATCAGTGTTTTCAAACAGTTATGTTAGATTTACCAAAGTCACAAAAGTTGCATTTACACATCTGTCACATCCATAACAATGGAAAAAAAAAAAAAAAATTAAAAAATATTTTTTAGTCTATAGAGAGCCAACTTTTATCCTTTTGATTAGCATTATTTCTTTTGGGTCGTGCAGTTTAATTCACATTTTTAACAAAGTATGTTGTATACCGTAAACTCGCAAATTTTTTGTTTTCTTTACGTTTGTCATTCAAAACATCACAATAAATTGTAATGCAGATCGAAATTACGTTGCATCAGACCCAACAAGAACATAAAAACATCCAACACTATAAAACCTAACATAATAAATAAGCTTTTATAATTTCATAAATATTCAAAATAGTGCTATATAAAATGTAACCCAATTAAAAAAAAACACAGAAGGGAATAAATTAATACGTAAGTTACTATTGCAGAGTTTGCTATAATAGTTAAAATATTAACATTTTGTGCTAATTTAACTATTTATTGATTTATTATTACATACTTGCTTTTCAATATTATTTAAGATACAGTGTTATTCAAAAGTTTTATACTGACAGGATAAAAACTATCATGAAACCGCACTGATTTGCTCCTCAGGCTTCTGTAACGCCTGCCTGACATCATGAGCGTGAGCAGACTATGGCCAGGGTGGTTTGGAACCCTAAAATGCTATTTACCCTAGACAGACAACATTGTTGATACAGTTCCTCAATAGATGTCATTTTGACACCAACGGACCTTTCAGCTGACTTTATTATCTTCTTATGGGTGTCACATCCATAATGCATGTTTATTTTTCTCATTTAAAATATAAAAATGATTGATATTTTTTCTGATCTCATAATTCAGTGGTTAATTGTTTTGGAAAATATAAACCATGTTTCAATATAATGCTAACCTATACTTTCTATGTGAATTTATGTTAGGAGATTTTACTGCACATCCATAACGCTGGAATTGCTCTTATAGAGAAACGGTTCACGTCTGTGCACATAAGATCCTGTAGATTACAATTGTTGTTTTGGTGTTCAAGTACATGTGTCAATAGACTGAACACATAATACTCATGAATCTGATGTCACAGTTTTCAAAATATCACATTTTTGTAGTTTACATGAAAACAATATTAAATTGGTTTTCATAAAATTAAGCAGTTTTAAAATTTCACTGTTGTGTAAATGTATGTCCAAAGAACGGTCTGAAACTTCGAAACACAGCCACTATGTGTTCACTGTCTCACTGAGGCGCAAGTAATTTATTATTTAAGAAGAAAGATTCACAGTGGCTTCTCATATTGCAGGAAATTTCATATTACCTGCCGATATTTGCCGCCAATTCATCTGGAAGTGTTGATTTAGTTCTCTTTGATTCGAAGCATGGAAAAGGTGCTTTATTTGAAAAAAAAATCTTACATTCCAGTTTTGCACACACGTTTAATTGGCATGTTTGGGTGGAAATATAGTTAATGAACATCAAAGTGTCAAACACAGTTTTAGATTCAGTTGGTATGCCAGAATTTTTTCCTGAGCTGCACAACAACCTGACCCTGAGCTGTTATTTAGCTAATACATGTAGTAAGTATTAATCAGTAAAAACACAAGAGTTTTCTTTTAAGCCATGCCAATTCTTTGAAGTAAGACATGGGAAAGTAGAGAAAGACTGACATGTGGACTCAATCTCTCTTCACCTCCAGAGATGGATGAATTGCAGATTTGAGAGATTTAGACATTTTAGTTGTTTATAGTTCCGTTACAAATTGCCTCCGTGAGAGTTGCTCGGATATAAATATTATGCAAAGATAAATTTGATCACCTCTTTCCAAGGCAACTTTAATTTTTTGTTCTTTAGGTATTCAACAACCATGATTTTAAGTATCCTTGTGCAATGTGAGGGAAAGGCAAAAATTATTTATTTAATAATAATAATATGATGCAGAATAGAAAATCTGTCAGCACTTATTACTAAAACATGCTCAAAGATATTACTGTAGGCAGAGATAATCGTGTTTTGCAACTATAATCATTTAATACGTTAATGGAGTTGTGTTTCATTTCCTTCACAACAAGCCAAATAAAAATAAGAAATGTGTTTCTTTTTAGTGATGCAATATATTATTTGATCTACACTCACTGGCCACTTTATTAGGTACACCTTAGTAGTACCAGGTTGGACCCCCTTTTGTCTTCGGAACTGCCTTTATCCTTTGTGGCATAGATTCAACAAGGTACTGGAAATATTCCTCAGAAATTTTGGTCCATATTGACATGATTGTATCACACAGTTGCTGCACAAAGGTGCTCTATTTGATTGAAATCTGGTGGCTGTGGAGGCCATTTGAGTACAGTGAACTTATTGTCATGTTCAAGAAACCAGTCTGAGATGATTCACGCTTTATGACATGGCGTGTTATCCTGCTGGAATCAGCCATCAGAAGATGCGCACACTGTGGTCATAAAGGGATGGACATGGTCAGCAACAATGCTCAGGTAGGCTGTGGCATTGTCACAATGCTCGATTGGTACTAATGGACCCAAAGTGTGCCAAGATAATATACCCTACACCATTCCACCACCATCACCAGCCTGAACCATTGATACAAGGCAGGGTAGATCCATGATTTAATGTTGTTGACGCCAAATTCTGACCCTACCATCGGAATGTTGCAACAGAAATTAAGACTCATCAGACCAGGGAACATTTTTCCAATCTTCTATTGTCCAATTTTGGTGAGCCTGTGTAAATTGTAGCCTCAGTCTCCTGTTCTTAGCTGACAGGAGTGGGACCCGATGTGGTCTTCTGCTGCTGTAGCTCATCCGCCTCAAGGTTTGATGTGTTGTGCGTTCAGAGATGCTCTTCAACATACCTTAGTTTTAAAGAGAGGTTATTTGAGTTACTGTTGCCTTTCTATAAGGTCAAACCAGTCTGGCCATTCTCCTCTGACCTTTGGCATCAGGAAGGCATTTGTGCCCACAGAACAGCCGCTCACTGGATAGTTTCTCTTTTTTCTGACCATTTTCTGTTAGCCCTGGAGATGGTTGTGCGTGAAAATCCCAGTAGCAGTCTCTAAAATATTCAGACCAGCCTGTCTGGCACCAACTACCATGCCACGCTCCAAGTCACTTAAATCACCGTTTTTCCTCATTCTGATGCTCGGTTTGATCTCCAACACCAGTCTACATACCTAAATGCATTGAGTTGCTGTCATGTGATATTGGCTAATTAGAAATTTGAGTTAACAAGCAATTGGACAGGTGTACCTATTAAAGTGGCCGGTGAGTGTATTTGCTTGTTTTCTTTATTATTTTTACTTTATAGTGTGGTGGACTATTATTTGGGAGATATTGTTGGTTTGATCCTTTAATGTACCCTCAAATATCTGTATTAGTATCATTTTTGGTATTGTACATCTTTAATGCATACATACACTTTGTAAAAAGTTTTTAACTGTTGAAGTTCTTATAAAAATTATGCTATAATTTATTTATTTAAGATTATTATATTATATTATATATAAGACTAATATGGATGTTATTCATTCACATTCATAACTAATTTGTAGTATTTTGACATTATATTTAATTTGGATGAATATGTCTGCTAAATGAACAAAAGTAAACATCATCATACTTAGTTTAAAGCTTACAGTCATAAATTCATATTTGTGAGGATGATTACTGAAACCCTATTTATTTTTCATATAACCTCATCATGACATCACACCTGTGACGGCCAAAATGTGTTTTATAATTTTGCAGAATTGCTCCAACCAAAAGTCTGCATGACCGCGGCTGCCACCTTGAATCAGCTGGGCTTGTTACTGACTCCCTCGCTGGCCTTTCTCCAACTCAAACATCTTAGCAGAGCCTTTTTCTAACAGGAACCAGCTTTGAACATGTCTGTTTAATAAACTCCGCCGGGTGGCATGTGTGTCTGCGCAGATCTTCACAACTGGCCTCATATAAATGTGCATGAACTGACAACACAAACAGCACTTGCAGTTTACAGCTAAAGGAGCTTGAACAGTTTTTACGTGGTTTGATATCTATAATTTTCTAAGATTTTTTTTTTTAAGGGCTTAAGGGGTTAGTTCACCTATAGATCAAAGTACAGTTATTAATTACTTACCCCTTCCCCTAAAACCGTTGTTCATGTTCACAACACAAATTGAGATATTTTAGACAAAATCCAAGAGTTCTTTGGCCTTCCATAGACGGCAACGATCCTAAAAAGTCCAGAAAAAGAATTAAAAACATTGTCAAAACATTCCGTCAGACTTTGTGGTTCAACTATAATAACATGAAGCTCCAAGAACTGTTTTGTACACCAAAACAGAAAAAAAATTCATCCATGTTTCCTGTGTCAGGTTAGGGTGCGTGTTTACTGTGGGCATGCTAGAATTGTCTGTATAAACGTGCACCCCAATTTGATGTGGAAGACACAAGCACATAATATTATATAACATAAATAAAATAATTTTACATGGCATTTTAGAGGCTCCTTGGAGATTTGTATGATTACATTTGAACCACAGAAGTCACATGGAATGTTTTGACAATGCTTTTGGTTCCTTTTCTCTACTTTTAGAACATATTGGGACTGTTGTTGTCTGCGGAGAGTCAGAGAGCCCTTGGATTTCATCTAAAATCCTTTTTAGGTGAAATCCGGTAAAATATTTGATTTGTGTGCCGGATATGAACAAAGATTTTAGAGGTATCAAATGGTATAAGCATAAATAACTAATTAACAGAATTTTCATTTTTGCTTAAGCTAACCCTTTAAAGCTGTTGCTGTAAAAACATCCTGTTTCATAGTGTCATTTTTGTGCATTCAATTCAATTTCCATGCTACTATTTTTTACATCCTCTACAAAAACTGACTTCAGAGATCAAGTAACAGTAAGTAATAGTTTGACCAAACAGTTTAAGCAAAACCTTGTGCTTTCTCTTTAAAATCTCCATATTAACTGGAATGGCATGTATTAATCCCTGCTTACACTACAACAGCAGAAGAGATTATTTGCATGCATATGTATACTTACTCAAATTTTGTGATTACTTGTTTTAATATTCCAATGTGTTTTGATGATGTCTTGTAGTTTGAAGGCTGCAATAAGGCATTTTCACGTCTGGAGAACCTGAAGATCCACCTGCGCAGCCATACTGGAGAGAAGCCCTACATTTGTCAGCATCCTGGCTGTCTGAAGGCCTTCAGCAATTCTAGCGATCGAGCTAAACATCAGCGCACACATCTGGACACGGTATGTACGACCATTCTCAAAAAAACATACAAAAAAACTGAAAAACAATCATTTGTATTATTTCTCTATAATAAAATTTAAATAAATAGTATTTTAGAGTAAAAAATAGTAAATAGTAAAAAAAAGTAAAAAATAAAACAATTATATAATAATTTATATATATTTAATATTTTTTAAATAAAAATATATTGTGGCGAGGGGGCGTGGCCGAGAGCCGGTGGAACGGGGTGAGGTCACCGCGTAAGTGGATACACCTGCGGTGTGCACCTGCCTCGGTTCCCACGGAAGGAGCTCTGGACCATAAAAGGAGGACCGATGGCAGAGGAAGCCGAGAGAGGACCGGGCCCGGACATACTGTATTTTACTTTTGCTTTCAATTTGACGGAAGTCTCCGTGAGGAGCTGCCGTCCGTTTGTTTTGGTTTAGACGGTAGTCTCCGTGAGGCGGCCTGAGGCTGGCGAGGAAAGGATCTGCCTGCTGCCGTCTCCCAGCATGGGGAGGAGCAGGGGACGCAGGGCTCACCACCGGAAGGGAAAGTGCTGAAGGGAGCCATCCCACAGAACCCGGGGGAGTTGCCGCGATCCGCCATGATGCCAGAGCCTGCATCCGTCCACCGAAGCGGGAGCGGAGCAGGAGACCAGAAATGCCGCCAGCCAGCCAGGAAAACCGCCGCCGGACGCCAGAAGATGGACGGGTGGATAGATTCCTCCACAGGGCTCCCAGCACATCGTCGCATCTCTCAGCTGGTGGAGGACCGAGTGGCAGCGTGTCTGGAGAACCGAACCCCAACTCTGTCTTTCCTCCTTTTTTTCCATCTCCTTTTCTCTCGGCCCGTCTCATATAGGTCTCGCGGGTGCTGTAGCGCAGTGAGGAGCTGCCGTCCGTTTGATTTGGTTTAGACGGAGCTGCCGTCACTGTTATTAATAAATATTTTAAAAACTGCGTCGGTTCTCCGCCTCCTTCTTCCCGGCGGCCAAAGGGCCGTAAACTTTATTACATATATATATATATTTAGAATTGTAATAAAATTTATTCATTTAGTAATTTAATATTTAAAAAATAATCTGGTTAATTAATTATATATATAATAGAGAATAAAGGTGTATACATGTGTACACATATCGCTACAATGCATTCGGAAAGTATTCATACCGCTTTACTTTTTCCACATTTTTTATCTTAAAGCCTTATTCCAAAATGGATTAAATTAATTTATTTCAAATTTATTATAAATAAAAAAGCTGAAAAATCACATGTACAGAAGGATTCACAGCCTTTGCCGTGAAGCTCTAAATTGAGCTCAGGTAAATTCTGTTTCCACTGATCATTCTTGAGATGTTCCAGCAGCTTAATTGGAGTTCACCTGTGGTAAATTCAGCTGGTTGGACATGATTTAAAAGGGCATACACCTATCTATATAAGGTCCAGGGTTGAGACTGCATGTCAAAGCACAAACCAAGCATGAAGACAAAGGAACTGTCTGTAGACCTCCGAGGTCGGATGGTTTCGATGCGCAAGGCTGGGGAAGCACAGTGGCCTCCATCATCCATAAGTGGAAGATGTTTGGAACCACTCGAGCTGTTCCTAGAGCTGGCCGGCCATCTAAGCTTATTGATGGGGAGTGGGGGGAGGGGAGGCCTTAGTCAGGGAGGTGATCAATAATCCGATGGTTACTCTTTCTGAGCTCCAGCATTCTTCTGTGGAGAAAGGAGAACCTTACTAAAGGACAACCATCTGTGCAGCAACCCACCAATCAGGCCTGTATGGTAGAGTGGCCAGACGGAAGCCACTCCCCACCTGGAATTTGCCAAAAGGCATCTAAAGGACTCTCAGACCATAAGAAACTAAACTCTCCGGTCTGATGAGACTAAAATTGAACTCTTTGGACTGAATGCCAGAAGTTACATTTAGAAAAAAACAGGCACCGCTCATCACCAGGCTAATACCATCCCTACAATGAAGCATGGTGGTGGCAGCATCATGCTGTGGGGATGTTTTTCAGCAGAAGGAACTAGAAGACTAATCAGGATAAAGGGAAAGATGAATGCCATAATGTACAGAGACATCCTTAATGAAAACTTGCTTCAGAGTGTTCTTGACCTCAGACTAGGGCGACGGTTCTTGAACGATGGCCAAAATATCAATGCCAAACTATCAATGGAGTGGCTTCACAACAACTCTGTGAATGTCGTTGAGTGGTCCAGCCAGAGCCCAGACCTAAATCCTATTGAACATCTCTGGAGAGATCTAAAAATGTCTGTACCCCGTCACTTCACATCCAACCTGATAGAGCTTGAGGGGTACTGCAAAGAGGAATGGGCAAAAATTCCCAAAGACAGGTGTGCCAAACATGTGGCATCATATTCAAAAAGACTTAAGTCTGTAATTGCTGCCAAAGGTGCATCAGCAAAGTATTGAGCAAAGGCTGTGAATACTGATGTTCATTTGATTTTTCAGGTGTTTTATTTTTAATAAATTTGCAACAATTTCAAAAACTTTTGTCAGATTGTCATTATGGGGTATTGTGTGTAAAATTTTAATAGAATTTTCACAAATTGAATCCCTTTTGAAATAAGACTGTAACATAAAAAATGTGGAAAAAGTGAAGCGCTATGAATACTTTCCGGATGCACTGTAGATGTAATATTAAAATATAACAAAATAACAATTACAGTATAAACAGTATAAAATTGTCCCAAATCGATTGTGTGGAACCCAACTTTTTTACAGTGATAAAAGTCAATGGTCACAGGTTTTCAGATTTTTTCAAAAGAGCTTATTTTGTGTTAAAAAAAAAAAAGAAACTCCTAAAGGTTAGAAACGCGTGAAGAGTGAATACATGATGACAGAATTTTCATTTTTGGGTGAACTATCCCTTTAAATACACTCACAGATTTTTTACTGGTGCACCACTAATGAAAACAAACAAGGCAGGGGAAGCTTACTTGTCACTTTTTCCCAGACATTGTGGTCCTGTACAATAACACGGTTTTATTTACACTAAATTGAGAGTAAGGAATTATAGTCTGGATCTGTCTGAAGATCTTCTTTCACTTTAATGACTTCAGAAAAAAAAGAGAAGCAGTTCAGCACTTACAAGCTCTGCCCGCAGTGGCTCTTGCTCATGCCAGCCTGTGAAGCAACAACCATCAGATTAAAGGCTGGTATATAACAAAATCTCCTGCCCATGTTACTAGGAGAGCAAAATTTAGACAGCTCATCTTTCCACATGCATGCAAAGAAACCCTTGGAAAGCAAAGTTACTAAATTGTCCTTTTACATATTTTCTTGGTTAACAAATGCACAAGGACCCGATTATAGCATTTAAACTTGTAAAATAAATTCAGATTTTCATAATATGTATTCTTTAAAGCAGTTTCATTTACTGATGACAGACATAACATTTATAATTGTCTTTTTCATTTAGATTTTTATTGCAAACATTTCTACTTTCACTTACAGACACATGTTACACAGACTATTTTATAAACATAACAAAACAATTAAGCATAGGAATTCTGAAAGTGAAGGGGAGGAAAGTAAATAAGCAAATAGCATTAAAGATTGTAAGAGATCATGAGAATATGGTATTAAAAGGGACCTATTATGCAAAAATCACTTTTAAGGGGTTTAAACACAGTTGTGTGGCAACAGTGTGTAAACATAGCCAGCCTCTAAAGGTAAACATTTTAGTAATCATTTTTTTTTCACTTGATCAAAACAGAAACACACTGACATTCTCCCTTTGTACATGTCATCAGAGGGGAAAAGCCCTGCCCATCTCTTCCTCATTAGCATAGACAGTCCTGAGTGAGAGGCAGCCGTCCGCCATTAGAGTTTTCACATCATACCTGCTGAAGGTAATGTCAGCAAATAAGAGGCAGCATAATTGAGTATTAGGATCCACAAATGAACACTTTATTCTCAATAGACGACTTTCTTTGACATTTTCAGTTTTTCACAGAGATAACATTAGTCTTGTTTTAAATCTGCTGCTATGCTGACACACAGGCGTTTGTAGCCCCACCTTTTTAAATGAGGGCTGGGAGCAGTGTTCCCAACTATTTTCAATGAAAAGGCGCTACGCTCTGCTCAAAAAGTCACTAAACGTCATACGTCAATTTGCATATTACTGACATCATCTCGTCCAACCGTTTCTGTTTGTTCAACAGCCTATGGTTAATAAAGGGGTATGTATATTTGCACTATGCTTTCTGTATGCATGCCAATTTAACTACATTTATTGCTGTTTGAATACAGTTAATCCAGTGCTTAATTTGAGCCGGATCTTGCTAGATCCTGTTCTCAAAAATGTCCGATATTCGCATTTTGTTCTGGTATTTATTTTAATGGATTCGGCATTAACTTGTGCGCGGATATAATAATATGATATATTGAATAATATTATATATTATTTATATTTTTATTTAATTATAATATGTTTATATATTTTTTCTTTTTTTACTGCTATTACTGTTTACAGTTTTTTTTATTAAATATGTATATTTTTTATTTTTATGTAACTTTATTACCGCTTTGGCAATACATTTGTAACGTGCCATGCCAATAAAGCAATTTTTTATTTGAATTGAGAGAGAGAGAGAGAGAGAGAGAGAGAGAGCGAGAGAGAGAATTTGAATGCAAGCAAAAGCTGTGTGGATTTTGTGTGCACACAGGATAGTATTCACCATTCGCAAGTTAAAGCAAAACTATTAGCTCTCAACAATATTTTCAGCCAATAAGCTTTCTTATGTTTACAATCACTCTCATTGGTTGGTGATTGTTGTTTTGCACACATTGAGCAGCGAAAATGTATTTTAAAAATAGATGTGTAGTGAATTTGCAGTAATCTCCCAGACATAATAAACAAGATCCGAAACTGTCACTAAAATATCTGTGATTGTGAACAAGAAATGAATAAATGGTCAAACTAAATTGTTAAATTTAAATTAAAGGAGAAGCAGATCGGTTTGACCATACAAGGGAAATATCTCACGCTCGCAGTGCTAAATCATTTGCCATCGGTACGCAGAGGAGTGATCTGCTCTCAGGCTGCAGGTGGGAGAGACTGCTGTACAGGGACTGGGTAGCCTGTGAGTGCTCTGAGGTGGGGGAGGGGCCAACGGCATTACCCGCAGGTCATTGAGAAGACTAGGAACGGTACAGTATGGACACATGAGAGTCTAAAGAAATCTCCGGTAACACCCAAAAAGTCCCTAGATTTGTCGCTAGTCACTTTTTTGAAAATTTGTCGCTAAGTGATTCTGAAATATGGAGTCAGATAAGATTTAAAAGAAATTCACGCAAAAGTCTGGATGTACACATGCATAGCCAAATTCATGTGCGTAAAATATTCATTTATATTCACAAAAACGTACGACTCCCCCTGGATATGTGTGTGTGTATTTTTGACTGTCCTGGCAGAAGCAGGCAACTCGTACCCTTTCAGCCAATCAGATGAGAGCTATATTCAATGAAACCCACTCTGCGCTCCTGTTGCGCAGTATGTTCCTCTCCAGCATGGTGAATGGAGAAAGAGATGCACAGGCTTCAAGCAAGAGCTATTAAATTCTCTGAATTTCACTGACTAAAAACTTAATTTACATTTTACTTTTTATCTTGTGAAAATGGGCATAGTAGGTCCCCTTTAAAGTAGCATAATTTATTCATTCATTTTCTTTACAGATTAGTTCCTTTATTATTCTGGAGTCGCCACAGCGGAATAAACCGCCAAATTATCCAGCACATGTTTTACACAGCAGATTCCCTTCCAGCTGCAACCCATCACTGGGAAACACCCATAAACACTCATTTACACACACTACGGACAATTTCGCTAACCCAATTCTCCTGTACCACATGTCGTTGGATTTATGGGGGAAACTGGAGAACCCGGAGGAAACCCACACCAACACAGGAAGAACATGCAAACTCCACACAAAAATGCCAACTAACCCAGCCAAGGCTCGAACTAGCGACCTTCTTGCTGTGAGGCAATTTTTGTATGTAATCTAAGTAAAATCTGAAATTTGTTGCATTTATTTGCTAAATCCAGCTCACCCATAACTGTTTTACCCAATCAGTAAGTTTTTTTAGCACTTCTAATTGTTAACCATGCAAATATCACAATTCATTATGTAGATGTTTGGAGCACATCTGTGTAAGTGATATCATTGTGTCCCTCTGTGTTTTTAATGCAGTCCCTGGGAAAGTTATCCAATAAAGCAGTGACTTTTCCTCCTCGCCCTTTTTAAACGCGCAGCTGAAACGTGTGATGTAAGGAGCGCATAGCTGGAGAGATGACATTATTGATTAGTCCGTGCTGTTTTCAAAGTTGTGTAGCTGAGGGTGACACATGTGATTAATATTAGAATGGACAGATGCGACGGTGTCATAATATTTACCAAGCCTCTTTGTGTGTGTATTACTCTGCACCTGCAGAACATCCGCTGAAGGGTTTGTGTAATGCTGCCATGTGAAACCTTTGAAAAGTTAAAGACTTTCAGTTTAAAAGGTTAAATATTTCTTCATCTTCGTAACGTGTTTCGAGGATGTTTTTCATGTTGGAATTAAATTGAATTTAGATGTTGTTTGGCATATAAAGCTAAAAACAAGAAGAACATGTTGTTGAACTATTATTATAATGAACAAAAAAAACATAAATTTAAAACAAATCTTAACGAGTAAACCTTAATTATTTTGAGGTTTTACAATATTTTAAGATTATAATTGAAAAAAGTTTTCTTCTATTTTTAAATATATTTTAAAGTAAAATGTGCTCCTGTGAGAGCAAAGCTGAATATCCTGTATTCACCTTCAGTATCATTGTTATCATTCAGAAATAGGTCTTGCTGATTTGATGATGAAGAATCATTTGAAGAGTACTCACAAAGTCAAGTGATGCGATTTCAGCAAGTTCACCAAGCTTGAACTTTGCAACGCAGTGAACTGTGAAACTTGTCGCTCGAACTTGCATTTCCGGTCTGCTACACTCACTTGCATATGAACGAAAGACTATGGGGAGAAAGGTCCAGTGTGACCGCAGCTTCAATCTCAGCCCTGATTGTAAAACCAGATCGGAAGTGTTTGTTGTTGAAGAACATATATGTTTGAAATGTTTTCATCAAATTAAATGTGACGCAGTTTAAAAAACAAATTGATACAAAACAGTTGAACATACATAAAAACTGCAAAAAGAAATATTTATTATATGCTCAATAAAAAAAGTGTATTTGGTCACCAGTTCAAATTATAAATTTTCACATGGAAAATCTTTACACTAATTTTAAAAAGATATAATGTTGGCTGATTTGTGTTTATTATTAGCCAGCGAACACTGAATATAGGTTTTACAAATAACATTTGATTTAACATTTTAAATTACTTGATTTAATATGTATCCTTAATTAAGTCCTACATTATTAGTTCAGTTTAGATTTTTTTGGTCTTCCAAGGTTTTAATAATTGGTGCTTTTACTTTATGAAATGGCAAAGGTTAGTTCAGGTTGTAAAATGTCATGTTTGACCACTCCAATTTTTTAAAATATATATTTTTTATACAAAATAATATTTTAATAGCATTTCTTATATATTTACATTGTCATTCATCTTCAGTCTATTGTTTCTAAATCATTAAGTTATGCATTTCAAAAACTAATTACCCTCGTGGCTTTTTCTTTGTCTCTTGCTTTATTATTTTATTCAACACTCTTTATAGAAACCATATGCCTGTCAGCTTCCAGGATGCACCAAACGTTACACTGATCCCAGCTCACTGCGCAAACACGTCAAAGTCCACTCCAGCAAAGCACTGCAGGCACAAGACAAGGTAACACTTTCAACTGTTAGTTAGTTTTGAGACTCTTATAACAAGCTCAGCATCACTCTGTAACATAATAACCTAAACTAACCCACACACAACATGCAACTAATTAAATGATCTTAATGACCTGGTAAATGAAGCCATATCATTTAGTGCAGTAACTCCATCGGTAATCTTCATCCCGGAGATCTTTGATGAAAAGGCCTATTGTTTTATGGGCTGTTCATGCTTTCCAAACAAAGGAGAATGAAGGAGATCTTTGTGTATTCCCATGGTTTTGGCAGTCTAAGCAGGAACACATGTGTTCCAGTAATACAGTTAATAAGCAGAGCAGTGCTATTCCTCAAGAGGCCAGATGTGACATGCAAATAACAAACATGCTCACCAGCTCTGCTGACGCTCAGATGAGTCAACTTCAGAAGGTTGAGTCAGCCTCAATGAAGAAAAGTTAATCTGGGCTGCACCTATTACTATAACCGTAATCTCGATGATCAGCTTAACATTAAAAGATGACTAAAGCTGCCTCATCTACATGGTGTTTCAATCCCCTGAGATCTTCGTTCATTTCCAGATCACAAATTAAGAGATTTTAGATGAAATCCGGGAGCTCTCTGACCCTCCATAGACAGCAATGAACACAAGACGTTCAAAGTGGAGAAAATGAACTAAAACCTTGTCAAAACTTCCTTTCATAAACCAATAACTGTAAATATGACTGTAAATACTGTAAATATTCCTATGTCTCCTGCATTATGCTTACTCTAGTGGCAATACATGGTCAACTCTGACTTGTCGCAGAAGATATAGGTTATGAAAATCAAATTTACCTAATTTTTGGTGCACAAAAGGTTCTTGAAGAGCTGTATGATTAAAGTTGATTAACTGATGTGACAAGGACAGCTTAGACAGCGTCTTAAGTTTATTTTGTAGACTTTGAATGTGTCGTGATCATTGAACGTTTATGGAGGATGAGGGAGCTCTCAGTCTTCATCTAAAATATCTGAATTTGTTTCTAAAAGATGAACAAATGTCTCAGGGGTTGAAATGAAATGAAAATGAATAATTGAAAACAGAATTGTTTTATTTTTGGGTGAATAAATCTTTTAAATTTGGTGTTTGGATCGCCACTGAATCATGTGTGTCATCCTTATCTGTCCAGTAGAGAGTGGTTGTGTTTAGGGCAGGGATGGGGTAGGGCCATAATTTAAAAGGTCATAGAAATGTGGTCCTAAAACTGCAGCCTCTCCAGTTGTACAGGAACACACTTTTCCTCAAGGGATAGAGATGTTTGATCAATTACAACATTACGCCAGTAGGTGGCGACACAATTATTGTTAAAACATTGCTTTGTTTTTGTTTTGTTTTTTTTTCAAAATTTTGTTCAAAATAATGATTAAAATTTGTGACTTGAAATGGCCAGGTATGCCATAATGCACCTTAACCCAACCAGTGAGTTTTTAATTTTTCTGCTTTAACTGAATAAAATTTACTATTGATTTTTGCACGCTTGACCTAATTGTTTGCTTTGTAGCCACTAAGAACAGGTACATTACCAGTTAAATTGCAAGCCATAATTACAACTCGTTCTCTGCTCTGACTTCTAGTCACTGTTAGATAACTGAGCTGTGCTGGTAGAGTGCATGTGAATATGACATAGCCACTCTGTTTCCTGGCTGCCAGGTTTTCTATAGCTGGCTAAGCAGAAACCATTTCTTTTTTTTCCTGTTATTCAACAGTAAATAAGAAAGTATAAATAACAGACTCCCAAAAACAGAAGTATCACTGTTTATGTTTACATTTCATTTCCATAACTAAAGCAATGGCAGGTGCATTTTTATAACAGAGAGCCCAGTTATCAGTAGCACAGTGTAAAATAAAACCGTATCCAGTGACTGGTGTAGATCCGCACAGAAAGAAACAGTTAGTAAAGAGAACCGTTTGGCTTAATAGTGGAAAAGCAGCATTTATTTATTTCTAAAAACTCTAAAAAAACTTTGAGTAAACTTGTATAGATTTATACTTTCTGTCATAATTCATTTTCTTTAATAAACATAGAGTTAAAATCATCAGAAAATGTGTCCACATGCAGTGCATTCGGTAAGTTTTCATAGCGCTTCACTTTTTCCACCTTTTTTATGTTACAGCCTTATCCCAAAATGGATTAAATTCATTTATTTCCTCAGAATTCTACACACAAAAGCCCATAATGACAACATGAAAAAGTTTTTTTTTATTTGTTGCAAATTTATTGAAAAAATAAAAAAGCTTAAAAATCATATGTACATCAGTATTCACAGCCTTTGCTCAATACTTTGTTGATGCACCTTTGGCAGCAATTACAGCCTCAAGTCTTTTTGAATATGATACCACAAGCTTGGCACACCTGTCTTTGGGAATATTTGGCCATTCCTCATTGCAGTACCTCTTCAGCTCTATCAGGTTGGATGGGAAGCGATGGTGTACAGCCATTTTCGGATCTCTCCAGAGATGTTCAATAGGATTTTGGTTTGGGCTCTGGCTGGGCCACTAAGGACATTCACTGAGTTGTTGTGAAGCCACTCCATTGATATTTTGGGGGTGTGCTTTGGGTCATTGTCCTGCTGGAAGATGAACTGTCCCCCCAGTCTGAGGTCAAGAACACTCTGAAGCAAGTTTTCATTTAGAATGTCTCTGTACATTGCTGCATTCATCTTTCCCTCTATCCTGACTAGTCTTCCAGTTTCTGCTTCTGAAAAACATCCCCACAGCATGATGCTGCCACCATGTTTCACTGCATGGGTTGTATTAGCCTGGTAATGAGCGGTGCCTGTTTTTTTTTTTCAAATGTGACGCCTCCAAAATGTTCAATTTCAGTCTCATCAGACCACAGAATTTTGTTTCTTATGGTCTGAGAGTCCTTCAGATGTCTTTTGGCAAATTCCAGGAGGGGAGTGGCTTCTGTCTGGCCACTCTTCCATACAGACCTGATTGGTGGATTGCTGTTGTCTTTCTGTAAGGTTCTTCTCTCTCCACAGAACCCTGGAGCTCAGAAAGAGTGACAATCGGGTTATTGACCACCTCCCTGACTAAGGGAGCCATCTCTAGTAAGAGTCCTGGTGGTTCCAAACATCTTCCACTTACGGATGATGGAGGCCACTGTGCTCAGTGGAACTTTCAGAGCAGCAGAAATTGTTCTGTAACCTTCCCCAGCCTTGTGCTTTGTGACAATCCTCAGAGGTCTACAGTCTTGGAGGTCTACAGACAATTCCTTTGTCTTCATACTTGGTTTGTGCTTAGACATGCACTGTCAACCCTGGGACCTTATATAGACAAGTGTATGCCTTTTCAAATCATGTCCAATCAACTGAATTTACCACAGGTGAACTCCAACTAAGCTGCTGAAACATCTAAAGAATGATCAGTGAAAACAGAATGTACCTGAAATCAATTTAGAGAGCAAAGGCTGTGAATACTTCTCTACATGTGATTTTTCAGCTTTTTTTATTTTTAATAAATTAGCAACAATTTCAAAAAAGCGTTTTTTCACTTTGTCCTTAAGGGGTACTGTGTGTCAAATTTTGAAGAAATAAAAGAACTTAATCAATTTTAGATTAAGGCTGTAACATAAAAAAATGTGGAAAAAGTGAAGCGCCATGAATAGTTTATGGGTGCATTGTATCTTTAATTTTGTAATAAACATAGATGCAGTGAATATCATCGGTGTTTATGTTGCCTAATGCACATTTTTGACTTTAGTTCCAAATGCTGTCACAGGATAGATTATAGTCTTATAGATGAAAGGCTAAATTTGGTCAATAACCTTCTGTTGTTGTTGTTGTAGATAATTCTTGATTAAAATAACTTGCTCAGAAAAGGTGTTGATTTTATTGTGCACAACAAAGCCAAGATGTTCTCGCTGAAGCAACCATGTAGGCTGCCAGTTTCCATGTCATTTGTCTTGTGGTGTTTACCTTATAAAGTTCTGAACACTACTTGATGGCTTATTTCTAGCTGTTAACTTGTTTTTTTTTTTATGAATTTGGCATGTACATCTGTTTTAGCTTTGTAAATATTCTAAGCACCCAGTTGTTAAACCCAGTCAATACACAATCAAAAGATCTTGGAGAATGTTTTGTTTCTTAAATTGAGGATAACTCATTTTTATTGATCAATAAAAATATTCTACAGTGTTTAGTTATTAACAGTGAGAATTTAGCTTGTTTTCTGCAACTTGCTAGGTCCAGCTGCACAGTCCAGTGGAGCAGGATGTTGTGGACTTGCAGCATCTTCAAGGCTCTAGTCCTTCAGTGTGCAGCCCTGAGCACAGGTGTCCCATCTCTCTCACTGAGATCCATCAGGACGGCTTCAGTGGTATGTGTATTCCTGACATTTGGGTGTCTATCCTGAACTGAGTTATTGACTATGAAAGGAATGAGAGACATTTTGCCAGTTTCTGCTGTAAAATTGGAGGAAGGAATGTGGGCCAGATGGAAATAACCAGCATGTTGTGTTTTTGATGCTGCATCTTGGCATTATAACTAACCAGCTTCATCAAAAAGAGTACAGCATCTGGTTAGAAATTCACACACATTTTAGCAGCTCTTTTATGCATATAAATATTTTTATGAAGATTCCAAGTTTTTCTTCTAACACGATTATTTGACCGATTTTGAGCCTTGCTGTTTAAAAAAACTATATAATTATTGTCTAGTTTTTGTTCAGTTTGAAATGATAATTTCAATTATTTTTTTTTTGTTGTTTAGAAAACTTGCTGTAATTCTCTAAATTTAATAGCTAGTTTCACCTCAAAAACGATAAAAAAAAAGAATACAAATCTAAAAATGCAACAAAAAATACAATACAAAATAACTTTGAACTACATTTTCCAATTTAGTATAAAATGAATCATATCAGGCAAAATAAGCTAAAATGTACAGCATAATATATATAATATATAAGCACTGCCATTTAAATCTAAAGGCCATTTTTAGGGCCAGACAGAATCTGACAGCTTTTTTATTTCTTTTTTATGCAGAATTTTGTAAATAAAAATCACAGATTAATGTGAAATGATTTTGAAGCTGAAAACCTTACACATAAAATAAAAATAAAATAACTTCTCAACTTTTATTTCAATTTGAATCACTTGTTTGCTAAACAAAGCTATAGTAAGTCTCTCATATAATACATCTGAAAATACAGAAAATATTACTTTACTAATTGCATTGTTTAAAAATTCTCTAAACAACAGCAAGAGGTTAAGGAGAAAAAAAATAAAAGCGATTTATTACAATACTCATTCTGTTTTACTTAAAAGCCAAGTAAAGTACACTAGTTCCTAGTGTATTGTATAAAAAATAAACAGTGAAATCTCAAAATGGGGAACACATAAAATCTTGAAAATAAACATACATGTGAAGTTACTAAAGATAAATTGGCCATTTCAAATAAACATATTTGTACTTAAGTAAACATAAATAAACCATCTATCTCGGTGCTGAAAAAATGCAAGACTGTGGTCCAGGGCTATTCAATTGGCGGCCCGCAGACCGAACCCGGCCCCCGAGGCAATTTGTTCTGGCCCTCCAAATAGTGTGACCAAGACATAGAAATAAATTTATTTCAGTCAAAAAAGGCAGCTATAGCTATGAAGTGACGGTTGTCTGTTCAATTCAGTATGAACTGCAGAGGCTGCGCAGAGCGTGAGTTACCATAAGCGAGTGGTGCGGACAGCCGAAAACATTTTGATATGTTTTGTAGAAAATGCTTTTTGTACAATGCACTGTAATAATTAATAGGGATGCAACGATTAGCTGATTTCACTATTAACTGCGCTTTAATTTGTCACAGTAAATAAATCGTAAAGGCTTCTCTAAGCCGCATTTCTGTTGCACGGAAAAGTTATGACAAGCTGCCAACTGTGCACTAGTTAAAGTTCCAAGTATGTACTGTACATTGAGGCTAATACGCACGCACAACGGATAATAGCAGCAGCCAATCCCAGTATGGAAAAATATGAGCAATATCACACGAGTAGCAGTGCACTGTAGCTATATATATCGGCACTGGTGGGAGGCATGCCTTAGTGTCCCACCAGTGATGATATACAGCCATATCGCACTGCTACAAGCGTGATATTGCATTTATACAACAGTTCGACAGCATAATCGTGTGTGTACAAAAAGAAAATCAAACACAGCGAGTCTCAAAAATGTTAGTTTTTTTTTTGAGGAACTACTTTCTTCCGCTAATTATTCACTGACATCAGAACAGCAGAAACCATTGCTACTTCACCAACGCCACTTTAAAGCTAATATTTGAATGATTCTTTAGCATAATGTCTAAAGTGATGATAAAACAGGTGATTTTGCTCACATTTTAAGATTATAAGGCTGAATGGCATGAAATGCCTTAAGTCTACAGAGATTTCCCAGTATTTCTCTGTTGCAATCAGGATATTACAATAATTAACCTCAAAAAAGCCAAAGCAGCACAAACACTACCAGATTGCTGTTGTGTTTGTGATAAGGAAAAATCTTAAACACATGTGGGCATTTCTTCTTTCTTTTTGTTTACTGAACTAGTCTGCAGTAACATAAACAGGAGACTCATTAGAAACAAACAGATGGCCGACCAAAAAGTAACTCAGGGTTATACAAAGAGTGGCCAACACAAAATAGACACATTCCTGATATGCGAGTCCCATCTCACACTCAATAAACTAAAATTACAATGTTATAAATACAGCACTGAAACATAAAAAAGAGAGAGATCAACTTAGAAAGTCCTTTACCAGTTTAATAATGATTTGATCAGCTGTAGTTAGAAATTCTGCTTTTGTTTTCTTCTAAGGGTTTATTGTACAGTCTCTGTCCCCATTTTATGGATGGACAACATCAACCATCTTTGCTATGCTCAATGACAGGCTAATGACCTCTCAGAAATTAATTTTTTTCAAAAAAAAAAAAAAAATAGGCACGATCCTGATAAATAAACTCCATAGTTGCAATCTAAACAACTACATCATAGACTTAAAAAAAGCCTCAAAAGTACATTATGTTGTCCAACAGCTGCAGTATTTGTGAAACTGTATTTTCGCTGTATGTGGGTGGAGTAAATCACAAGGGTGAAGAGGCTGTACGAGTGCTGTTATTTGCAGAATATTGCATGGCTATCAGCCAGTCAGATTTAAGAACCAGACAGAACTGTTGTGTTTATATATGTTTTACATCCTAATATATTTTAGCATGTGATGTTCTGTGATGTCAAAGCTGAATTTTCTGTATCTTGGGTGCTGTTTAATTATTTCTTAGTATTATTAATTTAAGAAGAACTTTATATTATTTTTGTGTACACTTTGATACTTTTTTTTAAAGACAGCATTTCTTAAAAATAGAAACTTATTGTATCATATAAACACCTTATTAATTTAATGCGTCCTCGCTGAATACAAATATTGTACTGTCCCAATATTTCTTAACAGCAGTATATAAACCAACCCAATGCAAATGATGGATAAAGCTATGTAACTCCCCACACACAGACATAATTTCATCCACTGTCTATTTTAACCAGTGCACAAAAGAAAGAAAAAAATGTTTATATGAACATGCCATTTAGCATTACAGATGTGTCCAGGGCAGAAAGTGTTCAGTCCAGTCCACTCCCTTCCTCATGTCCCTATACCCATCATTTACACTACGCACTATTTCTGACATCAGCTGCTCCGACGGCCTCAAAAGAGCAGTGTTTGCCCAGTCACTGGGCAAACGGCCACCTCACGCATGTCTCTCACACTCCTCAGCCTTTTCCATTCCAGCTGCCTTTCCTTCAGATGCTTGAGACGGAGTCAAGAAGCTGTCAGAGAGCACACAGCTGCTTTAGTCAACACCTGAAGTGAAAATCCACAAGGCCAGTCCGCACTAATTGACCGAGACTGCTCACTAAGAGTAGTGGTAGGCGATTGAAGCCGCAGAGATTTCTGTCATCTCGTTCTGATGAGCATGAAAGAAATACGTCTGTGTTTTGAGTGAAGGTTGACTTTAAGAGATGTTTAACATCAACATCAGACTACATGCAGGATTAATCTGACTTTGATCAGAAACATTTGAAGTTATAGGGATACATTCATTCATTTTCTTGTCGGCTTAGTCCCTTAATTATTAATTTTGCCAACTTTTTTTTGTTTATGAATGAATTGCCAACTTATCCAGCAAGTTTCTACGCAGAGGATGCCCTTATAGCCGCAACCCATCTCTGGGAAACATCCACACACATTCACACACACACACACACACACTCATACACTACGGACAATTTAGCCTACCCAATTCACCTGTACAGCATGTCTTTGGACTTTTGGAGAAACCGGAGCACCCAGAGGAAACCCACACGAAGGCAGGGAGAGCATGCAAACTCCACACAGAAACGCCAACTGAGCCGAGGTTCGAACCAGTTCTTGTTGTGAGGCGACAGCACTACCTACTGCGCCACTGCCTCGCATTATAGGGATAGTTCACACCAAAAAGAAAATTTACTAGCCTTCAAGTGGATGCAAGTTCCAGTTGAGCGCAAAAGAAGTTTTTTCAGTAATCAGTAGCCATTGGTATCCTTAGCAGGGGAGAAATCTATGGGTTTATTTATTTGTTTTCCTTCAGCTTAGTCTCTATTACAGAGGCTGCCACAGTGGAATGAACCACCAACTATTCCAGCATATGTTTTACGCAGTAGATGCACTTCCAACTGCAACCCAGTACTTGGAAACACCCATATACTCTCACATTCACACACACACTCATACACTATGGCCAATTTAGTTCATTCAATTCACCTATAGCGTATAGCTATAGGCCCACCCGGAATCTGCATGCGCAAAATTCCGCAGATTTTTATCCCATCATTAATTGTGCTTATTCACTTGAGTTAATGTGTGTACATCTATATTCAGTTTTTTAATTAATTTCAGAAATATTATTGACTAATATGAAAAATTTCATCTGATTTACGTACAATGCAGTATTATTTTCTGTCTTTTACTAGATATATAATATGAAAAACTTGCTTTATTTACCAAATAAAGTGAATCTAATTGGATTTGCATTTTAAACATTAAATAAAAGTAAAAAAGATATTATTTTTCATTTCATATAATAAGGTTTTAGTTACGATACTTCCAAAATAATTCTGCAGAAATACGCAGACTTTTATCAAAATTCTCTGCAGAAATAGCAAAAAACGTCCGCAGATTCCGTCTGGCCCTACGTATAGCTTTGGACTTTAGGGTAAACCGAACTAGCAACCTTCTTGCTGTGAGGTCACGGTGCTAACCACTGAGCCACCATCCTGCTTTTGGGTACGTTCATTTTTCTTACATTTTAAAGCAAATTAACTAGTTGAAATTCTCCTTTTGAACCCAGTGATTTTATTTTTCTGCAACAATTTTTCCAACGCCAATGCCAATTTTTGTAGGAATAATAAAAAAAAAACATGGTTGAAATAATCACCTTGCAATTCCTTCTTTAAATATTAAAACATTTTTCATTGGTAATGTGATTTGTTAAAAACATTAAAGGTGATTTTCTAAATAATTTGATTTTCTTTGGTAGTTTTTTTGTTTTGTTTTAAAGCAAAAAATCACAATCTTATACTAATAAACCATACATCAATGGGAAGCTTATTTATTTACTCAACCTCGTGGTTCAGGTTCAGGTCCAGGGTCACATACAGTTGAAGTCAGAATTATTAGCCCCTCTTTGAATTGGTTTTTCTTTTTTAAATATTTCCTAAATGATGTTTAACAGAGCAAGGAATTTTTCACAGTGTGTCTGATAATATTTTTTCTTCTAGAGAAAGTCTTATTTGTTTTATTTCGGCTAGAATAAAAACAGTTTTTAATATTTTTATCATCATTTTAAGATCAAAATCATTAGCCCCTTTAAGCTATATATTTTTAAACAGTCTAAAGAACAAACCATCATTATACAATAATTACACTATCCTGCCTAGTTGACCTAATTAACCTGTTTAAGCCTTTAAATGTTACTTTAAGCTGTATAGAAGTATCATGAAAAATATCTAGTGAAATATTATTTACTGTCATCATGGCAAAGAAAAAATAAATCAGTTATTAGAAATGAGTTATTAAAACTATAATGTTTAGAAATGTGTTGAAAAAATCTTCTCTTTGTTAAACAGAAATTAAGGAAAAAAATAAACGGGGACTAATAATTCTGACTTCAACTGTATATTGCTTTTTCCCAGGTCAAGTTTTTATTAATTAAAATATTATTTCATAAAAATTCAGTATATGATGATAAAACGTGCCAGAGTTATTGGTGGTTCATTCTGCTGCAGTGACCACTAATAAAAGAAGAGAATAAGTCGGCATCAATAGCCTAGTGGTTAAGTGTGTTGACATATAGCGGTAAGGTGCTCACGGCAACCTGAGTTTGACTTCCGGCTTCAGGTCCCTCGCTGATCTTATTTTCCTTTCTCTGCTCCCCACACTTCCCTGTCTCAACCCTACTGTCCTATTCAATAAAGATGAAATAAAAACTTTAAAAAAAGAACTAGGAAAGTGAGTGACTGACTGAGTAAAAATTCTGTAAAAAAAATTATCACAATAATTGAATTTATCATTATGTATTTTAAATAAATCTTACATGATAAGAGACCTAAAGTCTCAATTTGCTCTCTAATTGCATTGTTGTCTGGGAGAGGATGTAATCTATCTGTTTTTGTTTTTACAGTATACTCAGAGGAGGATGAATCCTGCAGCAGAGCTTTATCAGGATCCTCCAGTGTGTCTCTGGAGCAGCTCAGCAGACACAGCAGCATCAGTCTTCACAACCGCCTGCACAATAACACCATCAACAGCCAGCCGAGGTGAGGGTCAGCAGTCTGACCATACTTTACAGAAATACTGTATATGTTTTACAAGCAGACATCTGTGCTGACTATTTATTTATAACAGTCATTTTTTACTGTACTTAATAAAGAATAAATAAAAAAACAACCCAGCAAACAATTTTGTGTTTAATAGAAGTCTAATAGACATCTAAACGTAGACAGCTTGGCTAAAACAAGGCTAAACTTGGGCTGTCAGTGAAAATCTAATAGACATCTAAGAATAGGTCAAACCTAGAGTAGTCACCAAATAGATGGACTTTATATGTGTAGTCATTCATTTCTGTTAATTTGATGTTTTGGTCTATTGTTAGACGCCTATTAGATTTTCACTGACAGCCTAAGTTTAGCCTTGTTTTAGCCAAGATGACTCTGTTTAGACATCTATAAAACATCTATTAGATATTTTAAAAACAAAGTATGCTTGCTGAGAAAGGTCACAGCAAAACAAAGCCATGGAGGAAACATTCAGTTTTGGCTTTCCTTTCAGAAATAAGTCCTTAAAAGAATAATTTTTTGACATGAGTTGCTATGTAAGCTTGTTTCCACCAGAGAATAAATTAATTAAAAAGGCATTTGCAATGTTTTATCTTTTTATGTTTCCTTCAGCTGGATTTATATTTCAGAGTTTTTAGGGGGGAAGGCAGAATTGTGTCATAAACTTGCAGTTATAATTAAAAAAGCAAAAACACAAAAACAAATGCAGGATTGTGAGATCACCTGTTAGCTAGAAAATGCAAAAAATAAATATAATGAACTGATCTGAAAAGAAGAGATAAACAGAATTTCAAGTCATAAACTTATAATTTGAGAATACAGTAAAAACTCAAAAAAATAACAGAATGATTTAGATTCAGAATTACAAGATCTACATAAAAAATTTAAGATGTGCATTTAGTTGCACAAATAAAGTTCTGAGATTTTCTTTAAATACAAATATATAATGATATAAGATATAAACTCAGAACGACAAAATGTGAATTCAGAATTGCGTGTTTGCATTTAAAACTTCCATTGTAAGAAATAACGTAACAATTCTGATAAAAAAGTCAGAATTACAAGATATAAACTCTGAATTTTGATAAATAAAGTCACCTATAAATTCCCAAATGTCACTGTTTCAATTCTGACATAAGAACTCTCAAGTACAGGAAAAAAGTCAACATTCAATTACTACTTTTTCACGAATAAAAAAAAAAAGTGTAAAAAAAAATGTATCATTTATCTTCCCCAGGATAGAATTGTATTAATGCCACTGCTTCAAAATGTAGCATAACTTTAATTTTTAGCTAACAAAGCATGGACAGGTCAAAGCAAAGTCCTCTGAGGGAAATTTACTCAGTTCAGAGAGTATTTGGTCCCTCTCTAAATTGAGTAAAAGTAACTCAGCATCAGAGTTAAAGTTAATGAGACAATGAAAGGATTAATTAAGTGATTGCTGAGCACTGATATTAAGTTCGTTTTATAACTTGATACAAGTATTGCGGAGTTCCATTTTCTTGACACACAGAGTTACTTTCGAACATAATAGACCAACCCTACTGGTTTGACCAGTAATTAAATCATAACAGAATCAATTATCCTAGTCACATTTGGTCTCTTTGTGTAGTTCTTGCCATAACACACTATTTGTCAAGCAAAAAGACAAACATTAGAAAACAAATCAAAGTGCCCAATTAAAGCAACTACTCTTCTTCTCAATGGTGACATCTTAAAACAAAAAGTGTTTTTTTAATGTTGGTGTAAAAATAACTTAATCAGTTATTTCTCCTTAATATCACTATATGGAATTTTGTAGAGTCTGGCAGAAATAAGGCCAAACAGGTTGGTAATAAGTAAAGCTGCTGTTTGTGGAGTTTCTTCTGTGTTTTATTTCAGTTTATTTCATCTGAGGCTGTGACTGAAGGTAGATGCAGTTTTGTGTTTCTTTTCGATTTCTGCTTATTAACAGCAGGTGTTCATTATCTGTACTCAATCATTGCGTAATTAATTCCTTCACTGTTCCATTAACTATCTTTGCTTCTGAGTAACCTTTACTCAGTTTAGAGAGGGACTATATACACTCTGAACTCAGTAAATTTTACTCAAAGGATTTTACTGTGTATGGTCCATACGATTTTACTGAAGTCTAATTGGCTATTTGTCACTAACTAGAGGACTCCATCTGCGGCACATATACTGTATGTGCGTCGACTACAGCAGTTAGCAACATGTGCTTATGATGTAAAACATTAAAAAAGCAACAAATGACGAGATGGCAGCAAATCTTCTCTAGCCTGAGAAGCAAGACATTAGGAAGTGTGGCAACACGTGTTTCTTCAGTAAAATTAAAATGAAAAGAAAAACCATGACCAGTTCTCTCTGGATTACTGTTGCTCTGTCACAAATATGCAAAAAGGGATTTGATCAGATCTGGATGTCTTGCATTATGATGTTTATCCAATCGTATTGCCATATGGACAATTTGGAGATCATAGGGATTGAAGTTGTGGTCACTACTAGGTGTTGCGCAACTTTAGCAATGGCTGTTCTCATTATTTCATTTTAATTTATTGTTGTTGTTAAAGAAGCATTTTGTTATACTGTCGCTTGCCACAAACAGGCGGTGTTTGTTTCTGAACGTTTATTCAGACATGTCCGGAAAAGGAACACATGCCATGACGCACTTTGCATAAACAACAATCATTCTTGAGGTGATGCGAGAAAAAAAAACTGCAACAAACTCTGTCGGCCGTAAACAGGAAGTGTGTTTTTATCAAATAACAAAGCATATCAGCAGAACCTCCTTAACACTTCACACACACTAGCGAATGCCAGATATTCTACCAGACTGATTGCGAGAGAGAAATAATGAAGTAGGTTTGTGGTCCCAAAACAGAAAACTCTCTTTCCCTCCTTTTTTAACCCCAAATGGGTTTTAAATGATATTATACATTCTAAACTGAATTATCTTTCCTAACTCATTTCATCAGAATTTGAGGCCATTGCTAAATATTTTGTTTGGCTGAAAATAAGCATTTAGGAGACTTTGCTTACTGAGCATTGTTGTCGTTTCAAAACCCTGTTGTGAAATGTGAGCTTTTAAGTGACTTGTGGTTCATTTTTGTGTGAATTTGCTTGTGGATTTGGTTGACCAGATTTCTCATAGTGGATTATGGAACGAATATTATTCGTAGTGGATATATTCTGCAAAACGCCCCTCTCTGTAAATGTAACAGGTTGGCTTTTTATTTCTGCTGTTTTACAGTTAAAACACAGATGCAGAAAATATGAAAGGCAGAAGATACTGTTTCTTTTAATACCTTCTAATGTTCATTCATGTTTTTCATTCTTACGGCTTAGTCCCTTTATTAATCTGGTTCACCACAGCAGAATGAACCACTAACTTATCCAGCATATATTTTACGCAGTGGATGCCCTTCAAGCTACAACCCATCACTGGAAAACATCCACACACCATTATTTACACACATACACTATGGACAATTTAGCTTATTCAATTCACCTATAACGCATGTCTTTGGACTTGAGGGGGAAACCGGAGCACCCGGAGGAAACCCACACAAACACAGGGAGAACATGCAAACTCCTTACAGAAACACCAATTGACCCAGCTGATTGTGCTACCCACTGACCTAACACTTTTGGTTGGTAGTGTATATAAACTTAACATTAGTCTAAACTCTTGATAGACAAGTTATGCATGATATTTCTTGTACCAACCCATTAACCCAATTGACTTACACTCTCATTGCTTACACCTGCTGGTTTATTAAATAACATTCTCTTAACAAGACATTGATTTGCTTTTAGAGCTCCTTCAGTAGCAGTAAGAACTTCTGCTCTACATGCATCTTTAAAAAAGGGACTGTTGCCTCCATTAAATATTTTCCGACATGAAAGTTTCTGTGCTGTGAAGTTAAGTCATTTCATTCACTAATTTAATCACCTCCTCAAACATTTCAGGACGTCTTACCAAAATGTCTTTCAGTAAGTCTTTCACTAAAGTGTACTGACTGAAAAATAACACACTGTCAACTAAGCGCAAGATCAGTGTGATGGGCAAATTGGGATTTTGAAACGCTGCATGTAAGATTCCTCTCATTCCAGCCTAAGGGTGCGTTCAGCAGCTGGCTGCCATTACAGCGTATAGAGAGACTTGCTGGAAAAATATGAAGAGTGGAGCTGTTTTCAGAGTTTTGTGCTGACAGCAGATCTGCTGGGACTCGGCCCTTTGCTCAACACATACATGGCAGCACTGCAGGGCTTTCAAACACATACGCACACACACACACACATACACACACACACACTAAACTACGTTGTGGGACACAGTGGTGTGAAGTATCAAATTACAAATACTCCAATTACTGTGAGTAATTTTTCACAGAACTTGTAATTTGATAAGTAGTTTTAAAAATGTGTACTTTTACTTCCCCTTGAGTATATTTTTAGTGCCGTATCGGTACTTTTACTCCACTATTTTCCTTCAACCTGCATTCATTACTTCATCACTTTCTTGTCTATGGTGATTGGCTAAAGTAGAAAAATCAGTCCTTTGATTCATGTCCAAATCGCACATAGAAAGTAAATCTCATCATGAACAACCTCAAGACATGGGCGCTTTATAAATGCACCAAACTTTTTGGAAGCATTATAAATGTCCAAGAAGATGTCCAAAACCTGATGAGAAACTGATGAGAAAATGAAGGATGTCGACTGTATGATGACTGAAATCACCAAACAGCCGTTAACAATCACTAAATGGAACCAAAGAAGAATAGAAGGAAGGGCCAAACAAGAAATGGAGGAAAGGAAGGAAAGACCGAACTAATGAAGGAAGGAAGGACCAAATGAATGAAGGAAGGATTCAAGGAAGATATGAACAAACGAAGCAAGGATCGAATGAACGAACAAATGAATGAATGAACGAAGGACCTTATGAAGGAAGGAACAAAAGAATAAACGAGCGAATGAATGAAGAAAGAAACAAATGAATGAAGGAAAAAACTAACAAACAAATGAATGAAAGAAGGACAGAACGAAAAAACAATGGAAGGAAGAAAGGAGGGAAGGAAGATAACTAAATGCACTACAGAATGTAAACGCATCAACTCTTCACAGTGTAATATTTACTACTCACTACTCTTGAGTACTTTTAAAAGGGCTCACTTTTACTCCTACTTTGAGTCAAAAACATTTGTGTATCAGTTTTAATCTCTGAAATTGCACTTGTCCATAACGCTTAAGTACTGCATGTAAACTATTTGTTTTTTGTGAGACCATATTTTCTAATGTTTTTAGAAAGACCATTAGTCACGTCCACGTTTTTTAAACAGTGCAGGTTCTGTAAGAAATGTTTCGATAAAATTTTCTTGTTGAAGCGTTATAAGCCATTACCAAACCAACTAGTGATGATTTACAGGAGACCATTATGCCACTTTTACCAACATGTAATGTAACACTCTGGTGTCCATAGAATGTGTCTTAAAATACAGCAAATATTATTTTTATATAGCATGACCAATTTGCAGCTTCTTGAGAAGTTTTCCACTTCAAACATTCTCAACTTCAGTTCAAATTTCTTATCTTGTGTGACTCTTTGAACATAAATGAACATTTTAAAGTTCTTTAGAAAGAATCAAACTCACGTCCTTTCAAATCCATAAGACCTTCGTTCATCATTGGAACTCAAATTAACACATTTTCGATTAGCTCTCAGAATAGCTCTCCTGAATAGATGGCGAGGGTTCTAAAATTTTCAAAGCTCAGAAAAGTAAACAGTCCATGTGTCTTTAGTGGTTCTAGTTTAATTGTCATTTTAACTAACCACATTAATGCCTTTGTGCACAAAATAAAACTGTATAAACTACTTGTCTTCTTCTCTTTACTGATGATCTCCAACTATATTTTCCTATCAAACTAGGAAAAGATTTTTCAATAAAACACCTTTTCTTATGCCTAACCGACATTAAGACCTGGATGATCAATAACTCTCTGCAACTAAATTAAAATAAAACAGAAGTGTTATTATTAGGTCCTGCTGCTACCAGCGATTCAATTAAAACTCAGCTAGGATTCCTAAATGACAATCTGCACAATCACGCCCAGAATCTCAGAGTTATCTTTGATCCGCTCTTACAGTTTGATAAACATGTAAATGCACTTGAGAAGAGCAGTTTTTTTTCAGCTTAGATTGGTGGCAAAAGTTAAACCTTTTTTTTTTTTTTTTTTCTAAAAAAGATTTAGAAATTGTAACACATGCTTTAATCTCCTGTCAGTTAGACTACTACAACTCTTTGTACATTGGTCTACCCCAGTCAACAATCTATCGGTTACAGTTGGACCAGAATGCAGCCGCCAGATTAATAACAGAAACTAAGAAAAGAGATCATATCTCCCCTGTCCTTGTCCTTGAGTTGATTTTAAAATCTTTTCACATATAAAGCATTGCACAAACCTGCCCTGGCCATATATTAGGCCATATTAAGCTTGTAGACCGTTAAAATCCCATGACCAGTTTCTTTTGTCTGTCCCTCGGTCTCGCTGCAAATCAAAAGGTGATCGAGCTTTCTGTGTTGCAGCTCCAAGGCTCTGGAACAGTCCCCCTCTTAATATCAGGATTTCTCCTACATTGGAGGCTTTAAATCTAACTTAAAGACTTATTTTTTTAGTCTCTTGCCTTTGAATGAGACATGCATGTATTTTTATCTGTATTTTAATATTATATATATTTCCTTTTCTTGTATTTTTAATGCCAGGGTTTTGTTTTATTTTATTGTAAAGCACTTTGGATCAACTACGGTTGTGTAAAATTGTGCTCTATAAATAAAGTTTGCCTTGCCTTGCCTTTACCATCAGTTCTCTCGTAGATGCACACCCTGAACTAAAGCTGAGGAGAAGAAACTGCTTAATCAAGTTCTTATTTTTCTTCTGTTTTGTGCACAAATATATTCTTATAATATATTTTTAATAGAATAGTTGGAGGTTCATTCCGCTGTGGCGATCCCTGATATATTATAGACTAACCCTAAGGAAAATTAATGAATGAATGATTGAAGACCACCGAAGACAAATGGAGTGTTTTAATCTTTATCTTTGTGGGATTTGAATGTTTCAGGACCTTTAGGGTCTGAGACCCTTAGTCTCTCGAATTTCATCCAAAATATTGGAATTTGTGTTATGAAGATGAACATAGGTCTTAGTGTTTTGGAACACATTAACGTAATTAATTAATGACAGAATTTTTGGGGAGGGTGAACTACACCCTTAAGTATTTATTTATTTATTTATTTATTTTTAAGTAATTTGATAATTAGGGAGTCACGGTGGCGCAGTATGTAGCACAATTGCCTCACAGCAAGAAGATCGCTGGTTTGAGCCCCGGCTGGGTCAGTTGGCATTCCTGTGTGGAGTTTTTTATGTTCTCCCCATATTGGCTTGGGCTTCCTCTGGGTGCTCCAGTTTCCCCCAGAGTCTGAAGATATGGGGTACAGGTGAATTGGGTAAGCTAAATTAGCCGTAGTGTATGTTTGTGAATGCAAGAGTGTATGGGTGTTTCCCAGTGTTGGGTTGTGGCTGGAAGGGCATCCGCTGCATAAAACATATGCTGGATAAGTTGGTGGTTCATTCCACTGTGGGGAACCCTGAGTAATAAAGGGACTAAACTGAAAAGAAAATGAATGAATGAATGAACTTAATTATTATTTTTGGGTTTTTCAGACTTGTTTGTGGAATCAACCTGGCCAGTGGTACCAATGAAGTCCAGTCTGTCTCAGAAATACACAGCTCCTTCCTGAACTCACATCAAAATCTCAACCAGTTTAATGAAGTGCCAATAAATCACAACGGTAAGAAAGCTTGTTCTGTTTCACGTTCATTACTGTAAAATATGGTAACTGATATTCGTCAATCTGCTGGTTTTACACTCCCAATATTTCCGCATACTGACAAATTGTTGGCACTAATGCTGGAATATGCATTAACTTTACCGAACGCAGCAGCGTTAGTCAGCAAAGCAATTCTGGGACAAATACCGCCTTCATCTGATTTTACAGCCTGTTTCAGGAAGGCCTTCATTTACGGGAACACAGAGCATTTCATGAAGTGCGTTTTTTTTTTTTGTTGCTGTTAAAGATTTATAGTTGCATTTGCTTGTTTCCCATTGTCTGCGTGGTTAGTTTGTAATAACAAGTGGTAATGATTTAAATCTGGCTCTGTTAAATCAGTGTTCAGCGACAGCTCGAAAACCACTAAATTAGATCCTTTTATCAGATCCATGTGTGCGTTAACAGCAGGACGAGGCAGGAAAGAAGATGATTAGACCCTTTTGTAAACAAAAAGTGAATATTTTAGGATGCTCCATAAATCCCTTAATTAAATATTGAGGTGATTTAATTGTAAAAACATGCTTGTTCTTTTTTTATTATTGAGGCTATATCAACCATTATGAAGAAAACAAGGCAAATAAAATGTGTTTAGCTGATTTGGTGTCTTTGTCTAGTTTTTCAGGCCACTTTTAATCACGTTGAGCAGATTTCCAATGATGGACGAGATGATATGCAAAGCTTTGAGCAAAATGGGTTTCCTTTGGCGTGTGTGAGATCCTCTGGTAAGTGTTCGTGTATGTCAGTGTCTCCTCACCTCCATCTTTGCTTCAGTTCTGCAGCATCTCTCTCTTTATCGGCAGGCTTCAGCCAAACCCAAAATATGCAGATGAGGAAAGGGAACCGTCCCGCTAACTGTCCTCTTCCTGTCGGGATCTATGAGCACTGCCTCAGTCAGATCTGCTCTCTATAGACTTCAGATGCAGCTTGGCACTTGAGAGCAGCAGAAAAAGAAGTACACGAAAGCGTTGAATTTGAGGAACTCAAGTCTGAATGCAGGACTGTGTGGATCAACATCCTCGGAGAGATTCCTCAAGCAAAGTCTGGGTCTGACAGACCTGTAGCCAAGGGGGGTTCGGGTGGTTCAAAAGACCCACCTCCCACTGACAAAGCTCCAGAATTTGTCCCAAACATAAGTACATTTATCCTATTTTGACTGCTATGCCATCATAAATTTATAATAATAACCCATCAAAGAAGACTTTAAGACCAATAAAAATGTTTGAAGCACCAAAAGCGTCCCACATTAAAGTTTTTTTTTATTTAATTACCAATTAGACTATTGTTGTCAATCATGGCTTAACAAATTGACTTATTTAATTTATTATTCAAGTGGCCAAATTCAGACTGTGGAAGGTTGAATGTGGCCAGTTTGTTAACAGTTTTTAATTTGAAACTTTACAGACTGCTGTTTTTTGTTACATCAAAAACTATGGTTATGATGACTTTCTGACAGGCTAATCCAGCAAAAAATAATGCTTAAACGTCACTAAAATGCAGTATTTAATAGAAAAATTAAAGTAAAATATATTATAATTATACAAATTTACATAGAAAATGAAGCAAATAACTTTAAAAAGGTCCACCTTTTGAGAAAAAAGAACCACCCCTTTCACCAGGCTGGCTGCAGGCCTGTCTGAGAAACTCGTCTGCCTGGGCACTGATGATGATGAGGATGATGGAGCCTTACGTTTTGCTGCACTGTAATTTGTGTAGGCACAGGGAATGTTGAATCAGTTGACATTGAGTTGATAACATGACACAGTTCTTGATGTAGCGTTTTGCTGTACTTTTAAATATTGTGCTTTGTCTCATATATGAGATGCCATTGTATCATCATGTGGTTTACCAATGTGCCTTCTTTCTTTCTCAAATAAAAGAAACCAAAAATGACACCATTGCTATCTATCTGTCTGTCTGTCTCTGTCCGTCCGTCCATTCATTCATCCAGACGCCTGCCTGCACCAACATGTTCTTGTATCAATTGCATTTGCCAGTCTACAGACTAAAGAAGGAACTACCTGTCGAATGCTCCCATCTTGTGGTCAACTCAAACATAACGCCCGAAAGGTTTGTTCTTTTACTTCAGTAGTTGGTTAACTTTTCAAACGATTTTTTTTTCTTCTGAACGGGGGCTTTAAACTAAGCAAGTGTTTTGTTTTTTAGCCTCAAGTTAATACCTGGAATTCTCAAAACCAAACCATATAGCTACATGTAAAACATGACTTTACAACAAATAAGAAAGAACATTCAAACTGTTTGATAATTTAAAATATTTAAAAAGTAATACATGACTCTTATGTTTGGTCAATATGCGTCACAGATTTATATTGAAAAGGAGCACGAGGAGCGTGGTGTTGCTATGGTTACCTCAGACGAACGCGAATAATCGCTAGCTTTTGTTAGCGAGCATTTATCGAACTTTTCTATTTTATCTGGTTGGGGGGGGGGGGTAGAGTTTTTTTTAATGCTTGACATGAATAGCGTTAAAATTATATCTGAAACTAATATACAGGTTTAAAAGACCCTCCACCGTCAAAGCAATATTTAATAAGGTAACGTAGTCAGACACATTATGATGCAAGTCTGCTCTCCCAGGTAACTTTTCCTCTAGTTGTGTTGACACAATTTCCCTCTGCATCACACACACACAGCACAGGAAGCAGAATTTCCACATTCCCGCCGGTGTTGTGTTGATGAGGAGTCAGAACACACCCATAGCACGCGCGCGCGCGCACACACTACAGTAGAGAGAGAGAGAGGCAGATGGAGCTGCTGCTGCTCTGAGTGCTCTGGGTTGCGGTCATCTGAATGAATGACAGCTCTACCAACAGCTCACAACAATGACACGTGAAGGTAAGCGTCACTTGAGCACTATTCTGTCGCTATTACACTTGACTTCACGCGAGTGAATTTTACGGAGAGAAAAAAGTTCCATGCACACAAATTTGGTTGTTTTGATCAACAAACAAAGTTACTGTATTTATTCGAAACGTATTAAGTGGCTTTGCATTTAAAATTGGGTTTAGTTTTGCATTGCTTCATTGTTATTTTATCGTCGTTGCCCCGTGCAGACTCACTGTAAAGCTGCGCTCGAGTGAAATAAAAGATCCGCTATCTGAGAGGAAACTGCTGGACTGGGTGTAACAGCGCACATTGTTCAGCAGTGAGATCATGGAGGATTGGTTTGAATATACCCATCGCTTTATTGAATTCACAGATTGGGATCAAAACTTTAAGTATGCATCTATTAGGTCACATGCCCTTTATTACCGTTTAAGCCTTGCCATACGTATGCTGGTCTCTTTAATCTCACAGTCCTGATCCCTCTTGCACAATATATTGACAATTTAATCAGTTCCCATGACTATAATGATTTTAAAGAAAAGTAGTCCTCAGAATACCATTGGTTGTCTTATTTTTGCTGGATGTTTTGATGTTTTCTTTTAACGATTTTGTTAACTATTGCAAGTTTCAGTCAACTAGCAATCGTTAATGCTAACTCCTAAAACCCCTTTAGACTAATACAAGGGTGAACAGACGTCCAACATTTAATCTCTACTTTTAGTTTTCTAACTTATTATTAAAAACAAACACATGGTTTGTCCTGTATCATCCATCCTAAAATCTCTTTAAAGCTAGTCTTCTGTCACACAAGAATAGTTCAATCAAATCCAATCAATCCAGACAACTTAAGTCAGGAATCACTTAAAGGGCACCTATGATGAAAAATTTACTTCTGGAAGCTGTTTGGACAGTCTGTCTGTATATATAGTGTGTCCACTGTCGTATTGGAATGATGTAAACCCGACACAACGTGATGTAAGAGTGCGGTTTTCAAGATGTCCTCTCCGCAGCCCGCAGCTTGATTATGCAGGTGATCATCAACTACGTAGCGGACCTTGTATCAAGGTAACGCCCATGCTACTGTGACAAATGGGTTTAGAGTGGGGGGAGGTGTAAGCGATCGTCGACTTGTACTGCCCACTAAGGTAATGCTCATGCTACTGTGATGGTTGGGTTTAGGGTAGGGGGAGGTGTAGGCGATCGTCATCACGTACCGCCGACTAAGGTAACGCCCATACTGTAGGCATAATGTAGGCGATCATCAACTATGTAGTCGACCTTGTATGCCCACTAAGGTAGCGCCCTTGCTACTGTGACGTTTGACCTGGTCAACTACATCATCAAGTTGTGGGCTGCTGCGAGGTCTCGCGGTGTTCCCCACCTACCCAATTGATTGACAGGTGCCATGTCTCCTTAATAACATACACATGTCCACAGAACATGTTTTTGCAAATAAACTGGGATTAAAACATTTGTTACAAATCTCTGTGATTTTTTTTATAAGTTTTATAAGTTGAAAACTTATAAAATAAGTTTTATAAGTTGATGGTGATTATAGCGGATTATAACGTTCGCTATAACGTAACGGATTCAGTAAACGTGTAGTAATGTGTGTGTGTGTGTGTGTGTGTGTGTGTGTGTGTGTGTACTGCAAAATGCATTTGTGTGAGACTCATCATTTCAGAAAGGCTTGTATGAGCTCCACCACCAATACATTAACTAAACTTACTTGGTATTTTTAACTAATGAGCTGTATTTTAGCTTCATCCGAGTCTGTCTCTGTCACTGACTGCTGTTTATCTGATTTAACATATGATGAGACGACGCAATCTCACAGCAATTCATAACTTTTTGATTTAGTGGCTAATTCGTATGAATTTGTACGCTCTAATTTGTACAATTCAGTACGATTTGCTCATCACCCAATGACGGTTGTAGTTGGGGGTGGGGTTATGTGCCACGCCTCCTTTTTAAAATCATACATTTTCATACGACTGAGCTTGCAAGAATTTGTAAGAATTAGCCACTAAACTGACAAAACGTAAAATACTTAAGTTTCCTCGTGAGATCAGGCTGGATGAGAAGCAGATATGCATGTGGGACGCACAAAGCAGCTAATTTGCATTTAAAGCCACAGACTACACAATAAACTATACTGTACTCAAGACACTAAAGAGGGCAAATTCTGGAGGCTATAATAAATGATCTGATGGGTATTTTGAGCTGAAACTTTACAAACACATTCTAGAGACACCAAAGGCTTATCTTGCATCTTGTAAAAGGGGTAAAATAGGTGCCCTTTAAGTGAGTCAAACATGGAGCCCCTTTACCATTAGTTATAGCGAAAAAAAAAACACAAACCGCAGAAACAGTGAATTTACTTTCATTTCATGTAACCATCCACTCAATCAGCACTTTAGTAAAACAGCTTGTAAACAATAATGTTGGATTTACCTCAGACAAACAAACATTCAGTGTCCAAAACTCTATTTATTAGCAAAGAAGGAAAAAACTCTGGAGACGAGCACTTTTTCTTAACTTGTTACTGATGTCTAATCTATTGTACAGTATACAGCTCTGGATAAAATTAAGCGAAAACTTCAATGTTAGAATACATATGAAGAGTTCAGATGCAAAAACCTTCAAACTGCAAATCTAAAATGAGCATATTTTTCAGCTTTCTTTGTTTTTGATGAGTTATTTCATTTTGAAAACAATTAAAATAACTTATTCTTTGCCATAAAAGTGTAATTACTAAATCTAAACACTGGAGCCTGATCAAAACACTCATTTTAGAAGAATTGTATTTTAAATTAAGAGTTTTTTTATTATCTGAACTCATATTCTGTCTCTAGAACATGAAAGCAAACTCAATAGTTGGATTTGTTTAAGGCACGTTTAACAGGCATAGCTGAAAGGATCTTGTTGCTTGTGTGTGTACATTCAGATCAAGTTTTCCTTCATTGTGTGAATGAGCACATCACTAAAAAGTTTCTATTATGGTTCGGTTTCGACTTACAGGATTTAAAATATCATCAGCTCAGTATAAAACAATAGTAGTCAACGGAAAGTCCCCACCGTTATAGAAACAACAAAACCTATAAGAGAAACCTGGGTGTTTAGTTTAAAATGTAGGTGATTTTTTTCAGAGCTTGATTGCTCAACATGAGCCAATTTTTCTCTTTCCTTTTTTCTTTTAAATTGTGCTTAATAGCCATTAGAGCACATTACGAAGGACTTAATGTGGGTTTGGACATCTCATATTAAATCTGCTAATCTCTAAATGGTGCTACTCTATTACATATATAATTAAAAGATTTACTAGCTGAGTTTCTGTATTAGTTACATCAAGATTTATGATGCTGGTCATTTGTTCACATGACAGCCTTATAATTTTGGTGACAGAAAATCTTCAAACTAGTGTTGGGTAAACACAGCCGATGATATCTGCTGTAAAGTGAGCGCTTCAACTGTACTGAATGCAGTTTCTCAGCTCTCGTTCCTGATGTGGATCGTCTGTGTTGTCAAGGGGGGTTGCACATTCCTCTCCCATTGTTTACATCAGGAAAGTCTGATGCCAGGCCTGTACTTGTGGGGGGAACCAAAACATGCCCTCAACACAGCAGGGGAAAGATATCAGAGCAAAGTTCTTTTAAAGATAACAAAGAATATGCTTTTCTGTCAAGAAACTAATTAAAGAAACATGTCAGCAAACAAGTCATATTTAACTTAATGTGATTGTTCACCCAAGAAATTAAATTCTGTCATCATTTACTCATCCTCCACTGGTTCCAGACCTGTTTGAGTTTCTTTCTTTCTGTTCAACACAACAGAAGATATATTGAAAAACATCCATTGACTTCCACATTTTTGTACCAACTATGCATATTTTTTTTCCTAACATTCCTTAGAATACTTTGTGTTCAACACAAGAAAGACATTTATAAAAGTCTAGGAACCACTTTAGTATTATTAATTGTGAGGATATTTTCATTTCGGGAGAACTATACCTTTAAAAGTAATACATTTTCTAATTAAATAAAATGGGTGCATTGTTTCTGATGAATATTATAGTCAGTGATTGCTATCTCAAACATTTTTTTGGTTTATAGCAAAAGAAACCTCTTGTAAACTTCAGTAAAATCAAGAATATGTGATTTGATTCCTATATTTTATTGACAAAAATACAATAAAATTGTTTTCAATGTTTTCATTGACCAAAAAAAAAAAATTATGTAATAAATATCAGCAATTTTTGGATGACTACATCACACATGGTGTTAACTGTTCTTTACCATGTTTAAAAGAAGTTTGTTAAGGTCTGTGTGAACCGGAGGTTGCTGCAGTTTTTTATTTTTACCATGATGATGCATTTCCAACTGAATTTAAATATTGATTAGGGACAAATTTTGTGCTCTCCTTTCATCTTTTTCTTGCAGCAAACTAACAGATAGTTTAGTTTAGTAATTCTCTGAGCACAAACTTTTCCTTTGTATAATTAGCCATTCTTTGTGTATTGCCTCTTCTTGTAGAATTGCTGAATGCTTCCTCAATTGTTTGCTGCTTTGGACAAAATTGTCTGGTAAATGACTAAATGTCTAAATATAAAATGTAAGCACTTTTTTTTTTACCAGAGCCATCAAACTTGCATCATCAGAGGCGGACTACATTCCAGAGAAAAGATTTTGATTAATTATTTTTTTTTCAGTGGATTAGTTTGCACAGATTTATTGTTTACATTAAGACTAACATCATGCACTAGGAAAATAAACCTAGTACATTTTGATTTATTACAGACTTTAAAGTTTTACAAGTACAATTTAGCTGCTTAGCAGTCTGTGGTTGTTGTTTGATTTTCCCTTTCTTGATACATGTAGGTTATATAGATCTGGAGATCTGGACTGAACACCAGACAAAAACTTTCAGTGCATACCAATGAACTTGAATAATTTAATGACCATAGGCGTTCCATGAAAAACATTATTTTGATGGTAGTATGGCTCATACATCTCAAAAATGTTAATGGTACCTAGCATTCAACCATGCCATTTGCTCTGCTGCTCAACATCTCAGGACAGATGTTTGCTTGTTCATCCACTGCTCATGAAAGCCTGCATGGTCACGTTGGTCCTTGAGACATAAAAAGACTTAAACTCTTTGTCATTTTTCCATTTAGAAATGGGATTTTTGATTTTTTTTTCACAATTCTCTTAGAACTTTTAGCTCAGTATTTGCTTGCAACGACTGAGATGCTCTTTTTATGCCCAAACTTGACTCCCTCATGCATTACAGTTCAATTAAGATATTCATTGATCTTTTACTATTAATTTGCTTTAAATTCAAAGTGAATCTGGAGAAATTTTGAATTTGTAGTATTGTCATAAATAAAATTTAAAGATGGTGGCGCAGTAGGTAGCACATTCGCCTCATAACAAGAAGATCACAGGTTCGAGCCTCGGCTGGGTCAGTTGGCATTTCTGTGTGGAGTTTGCATGCTCTTCCTGTGTTCACGTGGGTTTCATCCAGGTGCTCTGGTTTCCCCCACAGTCCAAACACATGAGCAATAGGTGAATTGGGTAAGCTAACTTGTCTGTATTTATTTGTGTGAATGGGTATGTATGGGTGTTTCCCAGTGATGGGTTGCAGATGGAAAGGCATCCGCTGCGCAAAACATGTGCTGGACAAGTTTGTGGTTCATTCTGCTGTGACAACCCCAGATTAATAAAGGGACTAAGCCGAAAAGAAAATGAATGAATGAATTAAAATGTGAAGAGAACAAAACATATTCTTGATTTAATTGCATTTTACAAAATGTTCCAACTTTTTTCCGGACCCGGGTTATATTACGTCTGATTGATGTACGTGAACAGAAAAGACCTTGTTGTCTTGCACTTCAGCCATCAAAGGAAGTGTGTGTGTGAGATATATTTGTTCAGTTTCCAACCAACCGTGAGCTGCATGGTTGCCAGATTAGATGTTTCTTTGTGAAGTGTGGACTCCTGATCCCAGACTCACCTCATCTCCATGCCAACTTCCACACCACTGACAACAGTGCAGTGTTGCTGTGCACACGGGATCTCTACCTCTGCTCAACCTGAACAAGCTGATCTCTGGAGGTCAAGCTTACAACACAACAGAAAGAGACAGAATGTAATAGGTGTATGTGCATTAGTTCACTCTAAGATGATGAATGTGTTGAAGTCGTTTGTGTTTTGTGGATGTATACATACAAATATAATTGTGTACTGTGTGTATATTAATAAATGCATAATAAATAGATAATATATATCTAAATATTTTTAAAGAATGCTTTACAGTGATATATTTGTGCATATATATTAGATTAGTCAGTACCAAAGCCAAAAATGTAACTAATCTAACAAAAAAAAAGTTAAGATCACAGTCCAAAAATGAGCACATCCAAATTAATATATTGGGGAATTTTTTTTAGAAAGAGAAACATAAATTTTATCAATTTTAGTTGAAATTACAAAACACAGTGGAATGAATCGCCAACTTATCCAGCATCTGTTTTATGCAGCTGATGCCCTTCCAGCCGCAAACCCATCTCTGGGAAACATCCATACACACTCATACACTACGGACAATTTAGCTTACCCAATTCATCTGTACTGCATGTCTTTGGACTGTGGGGGAATACGGAGCACCGGAGGAAACCCACACGAACACAAGGAGAACATGCAAACTCCATACAGAAACGCCAACTGACCCAGCCGAGGCTCGAACCAGCAACCTTCTTGCTGTGAGGCAACAGCACTACCTACTGTGCCACCGCGTTGCCTAGATAAAATGAAGTAGTTTGTAATTTAGTTTGCAAAAACACATTCTAAGTTAAATGTATTATCTTTTTATTTCTAAAAATGTTAGGTGACCAAACTCTTATTCTTAATAACTGTTTAATAAAACAGTTGTTTAAATGCTCCAATGATTATTTACTATATTCACTTAGTAAATGTATAAAAAATAAAATATTTTAAAGGGGATGTACACATTTATGCTGATCATTTAAGTGCATTATAGTTTATCTTTTTACTTTGGGATTCACATTAAAAGTTTATAATATTTTATATTGTAAACAATAAGACAAAACGTGTAAATTTACATTCATTTTTTTGTGTTTTTCTGTTTACTTCTGACATTTCTGTAAAAAAAATGACCATTTATGTTTTAAACAAAATAACAATAAGGTGCCATTTTTCCAGACTTTTATAAAAAGTTTTAGATAACACAGAGAAGAGAATTAAAATAAAGAAAAAGTAGCACTCTTGACGGTTTAACTTGGTTAACTCTAACGGGCTGGTCCAGAGTGTATTTCTAAGGCTTTGTAGTGTTTATAAGATGCAAAACAGTGTGTGCTCATGCTTCATTTGTAGAAAATCACATCATTTTTCATATATATTACTTTGATTATAGACAGCTACTCAGCTAACATGAAAACGACTATCATATTTCCTAGTTCCCCAAAAGGCCTTAAGAGGCTCTGATTGGTCAGCTTACATAATGTGCTGTGATTTGCAGATCGCCTCCATGTCACCAGTAAAGTGTCACGCCTCCACAAGCATGCGCTTTGTCTCTGCTGTGTAAATAGTATCAGTCAGACTAGATGTTAGCTGCATAAGTTTGATCCATAATCAGACAGAAAATGAAAAGGATGAACCTCATTCCTGCTCTCTAAAATCAAATCTGACAAGCATTTAGACCGCATATTAGCTGTCTGCTATAACATTACAGAGCCTCTGGCCATATCCTTTGCAGGGTGTATGCATGTAACCTGAAGGGTTTATGATTTTATTTATTTAATTTTTACCTTCATTTGGATAGGAAAGTTGAGAGAATTGACAGGAAAGAATTGGGAACAGAGAGAGGGGAAGGATTGGCATATGACCGCGAGGCGTAATCGAACTCAGGTTGCCATGAGCACCGGAGTCCATGTGTTAACACATTGACCACTACACCACTGGCCCCAAGGAGTTTATTATTCTATTAGCCCAGATGTATTTTTTTTGTACTCTGTAAAAGCCAATGTCTCTCTTTGCATTAAACTTTGATTGTATTACATTCAGAGATGTTATGTTCACACAGCTACATTACACAACAACTAAAGTTTAAAACATGATATCGTAGCGGACCACCCCTTTAACTGGTTAAATATGATTACTGAAGTTTTGCCTAATCCTTCTGCTTCTTTGTTGTAGGACTTGTCTTTTTATGTGGGTTTGGGTTTCTCCAAATGCTGCATGTGACTGAAGGAAACACCGGAGGATGCAAGTGTCCACCTTCCAGCATTTTGTCTAAGTTTCCACCTCTGATACCCAACGACACTTGCTGCTTGAACTACTCAGGATCTACGTTCAGCCTAGTGCCCTGGGCAGCTTTTTCATCGCAGACAAATCTGCAAGTTTTGGACTTGTCTAACTGTAATATCAGTAAGATTGAAGACGGTGATGCTGTCAGTTCATTGAGAGAGCTGTACCTCAGCCAGAACAGACTCACATCTCTCCCAAATGGCTTCCTCACAAAAGCCTATAGTTTGGAAGTGCTGGATTTGGGAGTGAATAATCTGAAGGACTTGCCCAAGCGATTTCTCCAAAGCTCGCATAAACTACGAGAGCTGATCTTGGGCTGGAACCAGCTGAGCGCTCTTCCTCAGTCATCACTAAAGCCTTCACTACAACATCTAGAGCTCGTTGGAAACCCCTTGGCCTGCACGTGTTCGCTGTGGGAAGGTCTTCGAAGTCATCTTCATGACAACTCCAGCAGCTTTCAGGACCTCGTAGGTAATCTGACCTGTGCCTCTCCTCACATTCTGGCAGGGCGGACTCTTTGGTCTTTGACAACCAGTGATGTGTGCCACCTGGCCAACCTGACCGCTCTCTTCATCCTGCTTCCCCTGTTCCTCCTCTTCAGTTTAGTGCTCTGCTGGTGCTGTGGCAGGAAGAAGAAGAAGAAAGAGACCTCATCTTTTAGTCCGACTCGAAAAAGACACAACTCCTCCCACTGCAACGGACGGTGGCCACATGCCAAACTGCCCACCGGGGACTCGGCAGTTTCAGTAAACAGTGGAAAGGAGGTTATACTGAGGAACCAGCTGATGCTTCAGCCCTCGTCCAACTTGTTAGGCAGCACTCGGGACATTTATGAGGAGGTAGAGATCAAACTGGGCTCTGTGGACTCGCTGGCTCCTCCGCCATCCACTTGTTCCACTGAAGGAACTCCAGGAAAGCAGGACCTAGACACAGTGAGTGTAAGCGAGGTGATGAAGGACTCTGCCGATCGGGAGAAGGTGTACCTGACCCAGTCCACTGAATACTACAGCCTGGTTCCCGGGATTGAAATTGAGGACTCAGATCATGGAGAATATGAAAGCGTGGACCTTTCGTGACACTGCAGAAAATGGTGCGTGAATATACACTCTTAAAATAAAGGTTCCATTGGGTGGTTTCACAGCAGTGACTTGAGGGGTTCTCAAACTGGACAAATGTTTTCATTCTTTCTAGAAAAATTTGCAGATGTATGTGTTTGATGCGCTTGCATGGCAGTGACTGGCAATAAGTTTAGTTACAGAAATTTAGATTAGGGTCTAATCCAATATAATAGGAACTAACCAAGGCTTAATTTGTGCCGGAACACGCAAGATCCGGAACCTCTGAAATCTAATCCGGCACCTCATTTTACCGATCCCCCTCTTCCCCGTCTGCTGTTCACTTTCACTTTCTTCCGTGACTCCCCAACCCTCTTTGCTTTCATTTGCAACAAACCCTCACTCTTCACTTTTGTCCTTCATCCGCGACATCCTCCGTCATCCAATGACCCCCGACCAATGACTCTCCTCTTTTGTGCGTAACACATCTCCATCCTTACCTTGATCCATTACCTGGATCTGTTCCGGGACCTTGCAAGTCACAAATTAATCACTGGAACTAACAGTGAAGAAAGTGTAAACAGATTGACCTTTTTTATCTTGTAGTCTACATTTCATCCCCATTTTAATGAAAACCACAACACAATGATGTCCTCCATCCTCCAGTTGTCGATGTTACCATGTGTGCCATGATTATGGTCAGTATATGTCGCTTCAGAGTTGCAAGGCAACCAGGAATATGGCCTATGGGTGATATTAGTTCTCAGGTCACTGGCTTAATGGCTGGTTCTGATAAATGACCTAGGGCTGGTTGCACCAGTAGTGCGTACGTTAAAACGTAGCCTAGTTGTGACTTAAAGCAATACTAAGTTACAATTAAAGCATTACTAAATATTTTAAGTTGCAACACTGAATTCAGTTTAAACAAAAAAAAGAGACGACAGCCAGATTAGTTTACATTGAGGAGCTCGAGATGACAATGAAGAATGATCTCCTTCACAGACTTATTTTCCTCCCAAATCTCGCTTTTTTTTTAGTTTATAAAAAGAAGAGTTTAATTTTGTTTCAAGGAATATTGTATCGATCAATTAATTCGAGAACTTCTTCGCGACTGAGTTATTCTCTCTGCTCTTTTCTCTTTCACGTGTAGGATATAAAAAAATTCAAGTTTAATTCTTTGATGACTTCATGTGTATTTTGTGTGCTCTACGGCTCGAGTTGGAGATATGTGCGTCTGTTATTAGTGAATGACTGTAATATAATTTATTTTCATACATCAGATATATAATTGCAGAATTTTAAAGCATTTAATGATTTAAATCCTTTTTATTGGATATTACGTCATTCAGTGTGACTACGCTGGACTATACAAAGAGTCTATGGTCTGTCTTAAGAAAATGTGGTGCAACCGAAGTGAGAACAAATTTGGTTTCAAACTAGCTATTAGTAAATAAGCCTCTCATGTGGACTTTACGTTTCAGTTTAAGAAAGAACTTATGAACAACTGGTGCAGCCCTACCCTGGTGAGTAAGGGTGTACTCACACTAGGCTATCCGAACCATGCCTGAGCACATTTGACCCCCATTTTCCAGTTCGTGACTAGTGTGAATGCTCTGTACCACACCCAAGCGTGGATCAGTTGGCTGGCCCTATCCTAGTTGGAAGAGGTGGGCCAGAGGGGGTTTGGGCATGGCACACGTAGTGTGTTGCAAAGTGTGCACGAGTGCAAAACTGAAGACATGAGATCACTTTTAGAGAACTGCTGCATATGAATTTATTACTTATTCTTACTTTTAAGTGACATGAACTATCATAGGTTATTAAAGATGCAAACCCCTTGCTGCATTTCAGCTACCACCTTCAGCTATGTGCAGCAGATGACATTTATGAAAATCTATGAGCGTCAAAAGCGTTGGATCTGTTCAGCAAAATATTCTGTTTGTCACTGCGTCCCAAACAACTCAAAATAACACAGCACGCTCTGGCTCGGTTGAGAAGGGTCTGGATGCAGACTTGTTGCAGACTTGTTGCAAGGTGAGCTTTATCCATTGCTTTTAATAAGCACACCTAACCCCACCCCTCACGGTGACATCACTAACTCCATTGAGTCTGACATTGCCTATCTGAGATATGCAGTCTCAGTTTGCAAATCCAAGTCTGCATCCAGATGCTATTCGCTCGGTTGGTAAAAATGCAATGTGGGTGAGGGCCTCCTAGAAACTACGATATAGAGAGAACTACTTTTTTTTTCCTCTTTCTAATTTCCTGGTTGCATTCACGGCATCAATAGGAACTGTAAAGTAACAAAAGTTCCCAAACAGTGACATCAAGCCCTGCGTTCAACAGAATAAACTACTGCAGGATGGAGGATGCAGTGATCAAAGCTGTGTATTCAGAGATGGAATGTAGATCTATAAATCATAGAGAGAAAAAAGGAAACCTAAATCACCTCTGGCAACTTAATCCATATAGTGGTTTAAAAAAAACTGCACACAAAACACCACAGAAAAAGGAAACCATTAAATGCAGGAAAACATTTGTTTTCTGAAATATGTATATATCCTGTAACACTTTAAAATACTGTGTTAGTGTTTAGTGCCAAATCAGTGTGAGCTTACATAACTGTAGTTCCTATTGATCTGGATTATACCCTACTTTGGAGATGGAGGTAATTAAGTTTCCCCAAAAGTTGTTCCTATAACCAATCAATCTCGGTTTTGAACACACCGAAAGCGTCTCTCATTAATAGTTTGATGAGAACCCCTAACGGATTTGTTCTTATATGAACTACACACTTAAATATCTTTGGGAGCAAAAGAACTTCAAGTTCTGCTTGAAACCCCAGATGCTGGTAAAGAACCTTTATTTTTAAGAGTGTACCCAAAGATGCTAATAAGTACACTGGAGTTTTGTCTATGTTGAACTGGACCACTGGCCATGATGTTTTCCATGATGCTGGTAATAAAGGAAGTCAATGCGCCAGTGCGAAGCCATTACCTTTGCATACAACATGAATGAAATATTGTACTGATAAAGTGTCAAACAGAACTGTTTGCAGACTCAAACAGACTGTTGCCAAGATAAGCTATCATATAGCTGTCGCCTGGATATTTTCATGATGTTACGATTTTTATATCTTCTCCATCTACTGATTTATAGACAGACAGGATGTTTTTACTATTGTAAGATTACTTTGTGCTTCACATTCATTTACAGTGTTTAGTGCCGATGTATTGTGTATTTGGTGTCGAACATAGAAAGAAATATAGAAAGAAAGAAAAAAACTAAAGAGAACCACAGTACAGCCTGTTAAACTTGCAGTTGTAATTACATTTTAAAGCAGTGATTTGCTAGAGTTTGGCTGACTGACACAAAAATATGGAGGATTACTGTTTTTATAACTGTGTTGCAAGCAGCAACTGTTTTGTCAATAGGATCTAGTCTGTATCTGCAGTTGGCCACAGCTGATGTAATCATTATTTTGGCTTTGTTAATAATTAATTTAGTTTAAAAACTTGTATAATCAAATCAACAGAACAGCTGTAGTCAAATGAACGGACTCTCAGATAAGATCAGGCTGAATTAGCAAGTAAAATTTAAGATAAGCAGATTTCAGTGGAAAGACTAAATAAAGGAAGAGAGGTCATGTACATACACCACACAGAACAAATAACACTCAGAGTTTACTGATAAACATGACTACTGTCTTTAATGATATTAGACGGAAATTAAATTTTAACAGAAAGCTAAATATTAATGTACAAAATTAGAGATGCAGCCTTCACGGTTAACTCAAATAAATTAATTATAAAATAGCAAAAATGAAATAAATAAAATAGAAATATTAAGGAAAAATGATCAAATGACATTAAACTTTCAATAAATTTTTATTAAAATGTATAATATATTATGTTAAAATAAAATTACAAATATAAAAGTGATTTATTAGAAACCCGATGATGAAGATGATGATAATAAAACAGAGATTGACAAAACGCACAGTTTTTATAATCCTGGATGCATCTGAGTTACACTGGAAATGAATTTTTTGTATGAATTTATTGAGAGCTTGATTGCAAAAATAAATGCATTTCATTCTTGGCTTTAAATAAAAGCTTTTTCACATAATGTTTGTTTTATTGTATATTTTAAGACCGATTCAAGCTTTTCCAGAGTTAATTAATTGGAGTGTAGACTTACTAAGTTAAGAAGAAAACATTTCAGGTTTGTTAATTATACTCAGTCCTCCTCAGGGAGCAGGTTTGAAGTGAATCTAGCAGATCCAGAGTCTCACACTGACCTTCACAACACACCATTTATCTGCTTCTGTGTCCCCATAATGAGCCACTCCATTCATTAGTGGCTGAAATCACTCAGCAGTAATAAAAAGCTAGCTCTGATTTCCTCCTGTGTGGGAGTTTGTAATTATAGCATTGGGTTACTGGGGCCTAGCAAAACCTGCAGTGCTATAATGGCCTCGGAGGCATCTATACCTGCCCCGCTGGAGTGTTGTGTCGGGTGGTGCTAACTTTTTTTAAATGTTTTCTTTTTTACTTTTACCAAGTCACTCAAGTAAGGACCTGTCACATCTGTAACAATATATATTTTTTTTTTTTTTTTGCAAAAATACAAAATAAAAAGATTATTTCTTCAGGCTTGTGGATTGTTTTGCAGAATTTCAAAGCATTTTGTATCCTAAGGCAAGGCAAGTTTATTTATATAGCACATTTCATACACAGTGGCAATTCAAAGTGCTTTACATGAACAGGAATAAGAGACAAGTATACAAGAAAATAAAAAACAAACAATAAAATTATTAAAAACTAAATAACATATGTTAAACAGGTTATAAAAGAATAAAAAAGAAAAGAAGTCATAATAGTGCGATCTGTCTGACGTAGCACAGTGCTCATTCAGTAAAGGCACAGCAAAACAGGTGTTTTCAGTCTTGATTTGAACATGCCTAATGTTGGAGCACATCTGATCATTTCTGAAAGCTGGTTCCAGCAGTGAGGGGCGCTGTTAGTAGCTGAAGGCGGATTCCCCCTGCCTTGACTGAACTCTTGGAATTTCTATCTGATCCTAAAGATCTGAGTGATCTGTTATGTTTGTATTCAGTGAGCATCTGTAATGTATTTGGGTCCAAGGCCATTTAGTGATTTATTGACAAGTAATAATACTTTGAAATCTATTCTGAATGTAACTGTGAGCCAGGGTAAAGATCTGAGGACAGGTGTGAGGCTGGATGTACTCTGATTTTCTGCTTCTGGTCAGAATCCTGGCAGCAGCATTCTGGATGAGCTGCAACTGTCTGACTGACTTTTTGTTCTAAAAACTTTTATATATATATATATATATATATATATATATATATATATATATATATATATATATATATATATATATATATATATATATATATATATATATATATATATATACAGTTGAAGTCAGAATTATTAGCCCCCCTAAATTATTAGACCGCTTGTTTATTTTTTCCCCAATTTCTGTTTAACGGAGAGAAGATTTTTTCAACACATTTCTAAACATAATAATTTTAATAACTCATTTCTAATAACTGATTGATTTTATCTTTACCATGATGACTGTAAATAATATTTTACTAGATATTTTCAAGACACTTCTATGCAGCCTAAAGTGACATTTAAAGGCTTAACTAGGTTAATTAAGTTAACTAGGCAGGTTAGGGGAATTAGGCAAATTATTGTATAACAATGGTTTGTTCTGTAGATTAACGAGAAAAAATATAGCTTAAAGGGGCTAATCATTTTGTCCCTAAAATGGTTAATAAAAAATGCTAAACAGCTTTTATTTTTGCGGAAATAAAACAAACAAGACTTTATCCAGAAGAAAAAATATTATCAGACATGCTGTGAAAATGTCCTTGCTCTGTTAAACATAATTTGGGAAATATTTAAAAAAGAAGAAAAAAAATTGAAGCGGGCTAATAATTCTGACTTCAACTGTATATATATATATATATATATATATATATATATATATATATATATATATATATATATATATATATATATATATATATTCCCTCATTGAAAATACAAAACACATTTTCAGATTTATATTTTTCATTTCATTTACACAAAATGGATGTCAAAAACAAGAAAAATGGCAACTTTGCTGTTTCAACTTTTGTGGTTATAAAATATGAAAATATTGGTAAAATGTTGTTCTGTCATCATTGATCTTAACAGATAAACATATTATTCTAAACTATTAAATGATGCTAAACAAATGAGTTTATGATCTAAACTATGATTTGTAAAATAATAGTTTATCATGTTGATATATTTTAAATGATTAAAAACTGACAAAAGGTTACAATCTAGTGCCTTTAAGAAGTGGCAAAGTAGCCTAAAAAGATTTAGAAATTACAATAAATAAATCTTCCCGGACTATACTGTAATATTTTAACTGAGAATTTAAAAAAAAAAGATTCTTACTTTAAATATACCTGACAAGGTGTCTTTGGAATGCAAGCTATTCTTACACTTAATAACATCCTAGTAGGTGTTTTTTCTTAATCATGGCTGTAAAATTGCTTGACAGTCATTATCTATGATTTAGAAAATATGTAATTAAACAGGATACTTACTGTGTAGGGAGTAATTCAACTGAAAAAATAAATATAATTTGACTTAAAATTCCTTTTTATCGTTAAACAATAAGTTACAGTACTTAGCAAAAACGTTTAGTTTTCATTGATTCGGTGTTCAGATTCTGTGATCATGTTTTAATAAACAAAATTTAATTTATCAAAAAATTATATTTCTTAAATACAGCCTCGAATTTAGACGACCCTTCAAGAAAGGTGAGTTTTGAATGACAGGAATAATAATAATGCGAAATCTCCTAATAAGAATAAAAACAGTTCAAACAGTCTCTATTTTAAAAGGTGCTGCATGTTTGTCTACATGGACCTGTGTAATGATTCTTTTCACCACTCACCTTATTGAATTCAGCTGAAACAACAACAACAAAACAGGTTCTATAGAAGTCTGAGCGGGAAAATTGTGCCATTAAGCTTCTGCTGTTTTAACAAGTAATTGAATGTATATGCTTCTACTATCGCAAATGCAGCATGTTGTTCTTTAGTAACCCAACAGAATTATTTCCGTTATTGTATACCGCCCCCTAGTGTTTCTCTCCTCAAATTCAGCACATTAGCTTATCAAAAAATGCAATCAATCTTTCTCTAGTTTGCATGTATTCAGAAGCTGCATTTAGTGTCAGTAGTGTTAAAGCGTTTAATGACGAATTTTATTAAACTAACATGTTATTTTAAACTAATGTTTACATCTAAGAAGCTGGATGAAAATATTACAAAGTTACAAATTAATGATTATATTTCTGAGGAGCACACAGCAGGCAAATAGTTTTTTTCTCTCGTATTTATTTAATCCGTGTAAGAACATTTTGAACTTCTTTATTATCAGACCGGAAACGTCTCAATCCTTAGGCTACATCCCATTTAATTAATTCGGTGTATAAACTACTGAATTAGGATCCTAGTATGCTAAGCTAAATTAACACAACAGCAATCACAGTTAGCAAATGATCTCTATTAACCCTGTTGGTTTTCAAACTCCTGCTCTTTTGGGCGTGTTTGTCTCGCTGAGCAGTTCACACGAGAATGCCTTTACAACACTGACATGAAAGAGAATTTATAACTCAGTTGTATTTACCAGTTATGTAAATATCACATCACATACTATCATCTACTAACGTCTGCTGTATCAACACATTTCTTTAACATGTTAAAACATAGTTATATAGTAAACTTCATCAGTGAACAGTTAATAAAATTAAACAATCTAATCTTCATCAATCCAGGGAACTATAAAAAACATGGAAGGTTACAGCAGTCAAAAATGATCAAGCCTTTGTTTGAGTGACTCACATCTGCAGCAAGACATCACTAGTTTCTCACAAAATATCATTAGTCTAACACAGACATTAGTCTCACACTTAACATGTCATCTTTATCAGATTTTTTTTCAGTCTTTTTCACAGTTTACTGAGTTTCCATGTTTTGTCTCATTTTCAATCAGTTTTATTTCAGGGCTCTTGCTGGCCATTTCATTATAACAACTTTTCAGCTTCAAAGAGCTGCTTTCCCCATATACTGTGGAATGAGGCTCATTGTCCTACATGAAAATTGCTGGTTGACAGGGCAATGAATAACCTATTTTGATGAATATATACAGTCATGTAGGAGACTCCTGCTGCATAAAACATCATCCAACCATGACACTTCCTGCTTCATCTTTTTACGGACTTCATTACAAATTTTTGTTCAGTCTTTCCCCAGTCTGACCACAAGCTCAATGTTTCCCATTGGAATAAAATGAAACTTTTTTAAAGCTTTCATTGCTAAAGCAAACTTTAGATCAGTTCACACAATATGCTTCTCAGCAAAGGTAGTTTTGTGTGTTTATTCAAGATTTTGTCACTGCAGAAGTTTTAGTCTGAATTATCTTAAACACTGAGACACAGCTGAACTGACACGTCAAGTGCTGAATGACTGGAGTGTTGAACAGATAGCTGATTGAGATTAGCTGATTTATTCTGTCCTCGTATGCATTTGTCTGTCATGGATGATAACATTTTAGGAGGATTTAAATTGAGTTGATGAGATAGCAAAAGAAAAAAAAATCCAATATTGCAGAAAAATCTCAGATTTGGTATATTCTAAGATACCACATTCTCTAGCAATGGTATCCCTTTGACCTTTAACATTTAAAATTTTGAGCTTCACTTTCTATAACATGCTTTAAACACTTTACTTACTCTACCCTTTCAGAAAATAATAATAATATAAAAATCCTAATCAAAAGATAATTTGGCGAGTACATAATCAATTTATAGCTACCTTGTCATACACTGGACTTTTACTGCATGTTTTCCAGAGTAATCATTCATAATGCTGAGACCTGTGTGAAACTGACACTGGCCATGAATATTTCTACTGAGTTCCCAAACATAAATCACAAGAAGGATCGACAGGTCCACATTACAGTCAGAGATATAAAAGGCAAATCAAGAGGTGTGCTTTTCCCTCTAAAAGGAGTCAGACTTGGAAATCTTAAGGTAAGAACAAATGTTCAAGTAGTAAATGTGTGATGGAATTGTAAAAACTTACTTGGGCTTTTCTTAGGATTCCACCATGACGGTCTCCTACACGCTCAAGGTTGCCAATGCTAAGTTTGGAGGTTTCTCGAAGCTGCTCTTCAGATGGAAAGGAAGCATTTACAAGCTTCTCTACAGAGAATTTCTGGTTTTCTGCTTACTGTACACCTTTATCAGTATTCTGTACAGGTACTGTGATGTTTCTAAACACCCAATTATCCCTTTTTTTGATAATTATAGATTCATTTGGCAGGTATTCATAGTTTTTTAACTGTATTTGATCAATAATATTTCTGCAAAGTCAAAATGTTCATGTTTAGCTGAAGAAAAAACCCAATAGAAAGTAAAAGTCTAAGACCTGTAACTAACAAAATTGATTAGTGTCTACACAAGGTGAAGTTGTCTGCCAGTTTATATGCTTGTTCTTTCAAGCTAGATGGATTTTCATTGTATGTTGTTTTTATCACTTTTAAACTGAAAAAAATATTCTAAATGTGATTAAAAATGAAAGGCAATCTGTGACAACCCAGCAGACCATAAGACGCTATGCCATAATACGTTAATATTAAGATAAATTTAGGTCGCCAGTGTCTTAGGACAACGTTATTTTAACATCCAATTATAACATAAAATGACATTGATATTTTGTTGATTTTAAGTTGTGTTGGAAAGTGACCAAAATCTAACGTCTGATAAACGTCATAGTGGTAACATCCACACAACATCAAGCTGTAACACCGTTAGTTGATATTTGTTTGTTTGTAGGTTGCGATGGAAAGTAACCAAAATGCAATCTTTGTCCAACATTGGACACTGATATCGGCCTGACGTTGGGTTCTGATGTCAACTTAATTTTCAGTTCCAATAAAAATGCAACGTCCCAAGATGTCAATCTGACGTTATGTTGACATCCTGTGTCTGCTGGGAAGTCTTTAAACAAAACATGCAACTTTATTGTGTCAGGGTTCACAGTTTGACCATCTCAATGCATCAGAAATGCAATGAATGTGCTTCATCTGACACAAAAGTAGGGTGATGACACCAAGGAATACACATTTAGGAAAATTATTTGTAACAAATTTGGGTTTTTCAGCTTCTATTCACTTATTCAAGTGTACAGGGAAGATCTGTTGTCCTTCAACAATGATTCAACCCTTCTCGCCTCTCACAGGTGTGTCCTTAATAACAATCAACAGGAGATATTCGCGAGACTAGCACGTCATTGTAACAAGTTTGCCAAACTCATCCCCATGTCATTTGTTCTTGGTGAGAGTCTTATCGATGCAACACGACATTTCCAACCCCTAAGATTTCTTGTACTAAGCTAAACTGGTCTTGTTAGGGTTCTACGTCACTCAAGCATTTCAGCGCTGGTGGGGTCAGTACACCAGCTTTCCCCTGCCTGATAACCTGATGATGGTGGTCTCTGGAAACGTCCATGGTACAGATGAAAGAGGTCGTCTGTTGAGGAGAACTCTGATGAGATATGCTAACCTGTCATCTGTCCTCATACTGCGTTCCATCAGCACACGAGTGCGCAAGAGGTTTACAACTCTGGAGGACATTGTGGAGGCAGGTAAGAGAAACTTTCACATGCATCTAAAAATCTTTGGGAGGCACTTAGATACTGGAGCACTGGATTTCTTTACTCCTTCAAGGACATAAAGCCAAGTTTGTTTACTACTACATATCATGACTGAATGAGAATCAAACTAAATAAAGCATTCAGTTTAGTGATGGATTCGTTAGATAAATTCAGTTATATTTATTAAAAGAAACAGCCTATAAAATTCATTCGTTTGTCAACAAGATGTTCTCTGGTAATGCAGGGTGTGCTTTTGATTCACTAGTTAATTATTACAGTTAAAAATACAGTTTCCTTATCGGCATCATTCAGTGTTTCCCATTATTTTGGGGGGCAACCCAGCACCACTTGAAAATCAAGTTATTTGTTTTTATTTTCAATATAGTGGCAGATCTCAACAGAAATCATATTAGATTCCTTTCCTTCAGAATAAATTCATCTTAATTACATAATGGCGGTTTCTGTCTCATGGTGACTTCTTCTCTCTATAGCACCAGTGATGATAGAACATGTGTCAAGAATATATTGCCTCGGCCAGATTCAGTAAATATATCCTTATTTTAGGCATGGTGCTGAGCTTCATGTCCAGTATGTGGCGTGTGTAACGTGACACTATCGAAAAGTGCATTCAGCCAAAGTCTGTTTGAACTATAGGCTATGTGCGTCATATCAAATGTTAAATTTTAACAGATGCTACAGATGCACATGTCCCATAAACAGGTCGCATCATTCCTATAAACGTGTTCAAATAGCTGTCTAAGGACACAGAGAGTTAATATTTATTTTCAAACCTTTTAATCTGGACTAAATATGAATTTAAAAAAATAAAAAAATAATATAAAAAATAAATGTACTCTATTTTATTATTTTAGGCTACTTGATACATTACACTTTCAATGGCCCATAGTGAGAATACAGAATTAAAAGGAGCTCGGTTTTATATAGAAACTTAGAGAATGAATGCAAAGGAGTAATATTCAAAAAGTTAGGTAACTCAAACCATTTGAGGAAACCGATTGTTCAAAAACTAATCCTAATGAGTACCTAATAAGAACTTAATCCATTTGTGTAAATGAAGCAATTTAAGCACAGTAAAACCTAATAAATGAAGAGAACTCAAACCAATTGAGTACTGTGAAACCCAATAAGTGCCTCAAACCATTTGAGGAAACCGATTGCTACCATTTGAGTTTTAAAAAAACTAATCTATATGAGTACTGTGAACTCGCTCTGTTTAAGCTGAAGTAATGAAGTATTTAATGAACTCATTACTTTCAACACTGAGTTCAAAACTCTTTTCAAATAAGTAGAGTTAACTTTCAGTCAATTTTGATTGAACTGCACTCATTTTATTTGATAAAGTTGACTTGGGTTTTACAGTGAACAGACTAGAATTCATATAAATGTAATGTATTGTTCTAAATCTTCAATAATCTGTTTATTTGTCGTATATATAGCTGCGAATTTTGAGAAGAGGCACTGTAGCAAGAAATTTGTAATATTTACTGTGGTTTTCATTTTATTTTAAAGAAAGAGAATGTGAATCAGCATGCCAACATCTGCGTGAATTTGTCAAATGATAATAGCTGAAGATTAAATCTGGAATGCATTTATCTTGATGCATATTGTTTTGCAGGATTCATGACCACAGATGAGCTCAGGAAACTAAACCATCTGTACTCAGACTTCAACAAATACTGGATGCCGCTTGCATGGTTTGCCAACCTGGCGTCTCAGGCCAGAAAAGAAGGGCGTGTGAAAGATGATATAGCATTGCGTCTGCTAATGGATGTATGTGCGTATAAACATGTCAAGATGATACATCTCTGTTATAAAAGCACACTAAATTCATTTCTTTCTTCCTCTTTGTCAGGAGCTGAATAACTATAGATCAAAATGCAGCATGCTCTTCCACTATGACTGGATCAGCATTCCCTTGGTGTACACACAGGTAAGGCTCATCTGATTATCTCTCGCATGAGAGTAATAATTGACTGAATGCATCTCCAATTCTCTGTGATGCAGGTGGTGACTGTGGCCGTGTACTCCTTCTTTACATTTAGTCTTATTGGGAGGCAGTTTGTGAAGCCTGCATCTTCTGAAGAACACCTTGACCTGTACATCCCCATTTTCACTTTACTGGAGTTCTTCTTTTATGCTGGATGGTTAAAGGTATGACGGGTAGCATTTAAAGAGCAATCTTTGGACTGCTGATTTCAGAAACTGACGGTGCATTGATTCTTAAAGGTAGGGGAACTTATCATCAACCCGTTTGGAGAAGATGATGATGATTTTGAAACCAACCAACTCATAGATCGAAACATTCAGGTTTGCAGATTGAAAAATAGCATCATCATTTCAAGGAATGCAAATGTTTCATGACAGTGGGTTCCTATTTATCCAGGTTTCTATGCTAGCCGTAGATGACATGCACCAGAATCTTCCTCCTCTTGAGAAGGACAAATACTGGGTGGATAAAGGTCCTTCATATCCTTCGGCTTCTATGAAGCCTGTTTTCATGGGTTCTACACATGACATGAGGTGAGATCCTCAACTTTAACAATTAGTTATTATTTCTAGACACTCACATATGCCTCTTTCAGGGGTGCACCCAAGGGCCACCCATGTGTAAACTCTGGCCACCCCAATATGATTTAGCTGTTATTAATTTAAAAGTACTTATGTAAATTCAAAATATTTAATCAAATAAATGAATAAAATGCAGCCACTAAATTATTGTGGATTGATTGGTGCCACTGATGTAGCTGATTCATTCCCTCTCCCCCTCCCCGATTGTTGCTGACAGCACGCACACATCTTCAATAGAAAGCAATGGCAATTTAATATGTACCTTAAGGTAAATCATTGGAAGAGGCTGTATTAATAATATTGTAGTTCAAAAAGAAATATGGATAAATATTATTAGGGTCTGTATAGTGTGTGTGTATTAATCTTCATTAATTTTAGACATGGCATATACTGTACAATAAGAGCATGTGAAAATAGCTGAAAAGACATTTATATATTTGAAAAGTGTTTTTAAACTAAATATTGATCATTATTTGGTTTGCATATGTACTTGCTGATTAATTTCAAGGAATAAATTGCAATATTTCTAGAGTATAATCGATTAAATGAATTACAACCACATTATCTCATTTAACAGTAACAAAAATTTAACATTACATTGAAGTCATTTTTTGTGTGCCATCCCAAGATTTGGTGTGGCCTCTTCTGGCCACCCGGAAAAAAAAGATTTCTGGGGGCGCCACTTGCCTCTTTACCTTGCATTTGCCAAGTTTTATTGATAGTGTTGTATAAACAACACTTAACCATAAAGAAAAACATGTACGCTATATAAAAACTGCAGCAATACTGTATAAACCAAGACATATCTTGGACAATAAATGTTCATCCATTCATTTTCTTTTTAGCTTCCCATCACTGGGAAACACCCATATACAATCACATACACTATGGCCAATATACCTATACCACGTCTTTGACCTTTTGAGGGAAATTGGAGCACTACGCAGACCTGGATCTGAGCTGCATTCAATGCTTTTTAATGCGCTCGCCTAACCCCAACCCTAACCCGTCACAGTGACGTCACACTTCGTTGAGTGCAATGTGTCTGACATTGCATCGCTGAGTGATGCAATCTCTGCTTGCATCATAAAGGCTCAATCCAGGTGCTATTGGCTTATAGTGGGGTAAAATTATGGAATAGTCTGGAACAGATAGTAACAGTGTCCAGATAGTAAACAGTTGAAAAAGTTGAATTGGGATTATTATTAATGTAATATGCGGATGATATTTAGGCGAACTGAAATTGGAACATTCAGTTTAGTTGCTGTTCGCAATACAATGTAAAGATTGGATTTGCCTTCATTTAAATAAACATACAAATGGTAAGGAAAATATTTGCGGGGGATGGGGGAGATATAATATATATGAGTGATTATCAAAATCATGTTGAATGGGACCTAACAGGGTGGGATACCTTTTGGCCTGGTTAAAATCATGTAGAGATTTTGATGGAATTTTCATTTGAATATTTGTTTCTACGTGTATTTTTGGTCAAATTAAATCAAATAAATACAGCTGCTGCAGATTTAATGGCATATCAAACTAAAATGAAAACTTTACCATCATTTACTCACGTTTGACCCGTAACAAAAACCAGTTAAACATGTTTAAAGAGTGTTGGAACACCATAGTATTTGTTTTTCTGACTATAAATGTCAATAGTTACGTTTCCAACATTTAGCTTTATGTTCAAATGTGGCATTAATATTTTGTGGTATAACTGTGATTCTGTATTTATTAGGATACTTGAGGATGATCTTGAAGAATGCGTGTCAACCCCCAAGACTCAGATGCTTGCCATTAATGTGTGGCCGACTACACACAAAGTGAAAAAGTCGAAAAGGAGTTTGCAACAATTATGTATTTGCTGCAGAGCTGAAGGTGAGGATGACTGCTCTAAACTTGAACCTTCCAATAGCAGCGTCCATTCACCACAACACAAGACTGTTCAACACAGCTGCCAAGAAAAACTCTTTGGGTCACAGGAAACTACAGGACCAGCAAACTGAGACCTAAAAGGCAAATGTGCAACCCCTGTTTGATTTTGCCTGCTGATGTTAGGATACATCCTTTCAAACTTGTGCAGTCTACTATTGCTTAAATTAGGGGTGCCTATGTTCCTGAAGAGTTCAGCTCCAACCCCGATTAAACACAAAATCAACGAAGTAAGATCTAGAGCAGTGGTTCTCAAACTGTGGTACGTGTACCACCAGTGGTACGCAGGCTTCCTTCTAGTGGTACACGGAGGAATGAAATATGTCATGTACATGCTAACGTTACACACATTTCAAAATTTTTCAAAAATGATGTATATAATATGTCATATATGACATATAGCCTATATTTCTGATGTAATCTGCCATGTTTTTTTAACTGTGCAGAGTTGTAGCTGCTTTACTGGGCCTACTGCGCTACTGTATTTCAATACTGCTCATTTTGGTGGTACTTGGAGAGACAATTGTTTTCTGAGGTGGTACTTGATGAAAAACGTTTGAGAACAACTGATCTAGGGCATATGGCAATTAAGGACAGAAGAGTTTAATCAAGGATGCAGCTTAACTACACAAGCAGAAAGATCTCCAGAAACAAGATTTTAAATGTTTGGGATCAGTAAAAACATTTTAAATGAAGGATTTCAGTTTTTACAGTAACTTTACAATTATCAATAACGATAAATTAAAAATGTTACATGTATAAAATATTATCAAACAGAACGTTCATTGATGAGAAATAAAATTTGTAAATTTACTTCACAATGGAGTAAAGGCCTCTGGGAACACCTTTGCTGTCACTAGAAGTGTACTTGCTTGACTATCCACTTATTCATCCAACAATGAACAGCACTTAGTTCATTGACATTTAAGACTTGCAATGCAAAGAAAAAAAAAATTCTGTGAAATATTTGACTCAATTGCAGTTTACGTAAATTCATAAAACTAAGTAAAAGAGCTAGAAAATATATTTGAATTAAAATTCTTTTTCAAGCCCTGATACAATTACAAATCTCTTACCATTTTCAGAACATGTCCACAAGAACTCGACTACTTTTACACACAGAATGAAAGAGCACTTTGAGCACTTGTGTTTTTTTCTAGGAGGTTATAACCAGTTAATGCAGTACTAAAACAGCTGCCTAACTTTCTCAATCCTCCTTTTATAACAATGTAGCTCAACGAGTTGTTTTACATAAAGTGTAAAACACAGCTTTCTCTTGGCCAAACCAACTTTCCAATAAAATAAACTTTCCACTGTATAAAATGAAGACAATGACATGAGTTGGGGTGTTTTCTTTAATGGTCGTATCAAAGAGCGCTGTACATCTATTTGCCTTTCTTGGCTTTAATCTTCCTCAGGTAGAACTCCAGTTCTTTGCCCTCAAGGACGTAGCCATCAGCCCTGCCGCACTGTCCTGGTCTGGATGAAATGCAGGCTGGGGGAAAAACAAACACAGACTTTTAAAATTTGCACTGAAGCCAAGCGAGACTGCAGGCAGCTTTTCAGTGCATGTCAGAAAGGTTAAAAGCTCAGCACCATTTTTTCAGTAGCAGAACTGGTTAAAGGTTTCATCATGAACACATTAAAAAGCCACGTTCAGACCTCATAACTAGCCTTACCCAGAAGCTTGCCCTGCAGGAACTGCTCCTCCAGCAGAGGACTGATCTTGGCTGTTTTTCTGCGCAAAGTAAACTTCTTTTGGACCTTTTTGGACCTCTTCTTGTTCAGGATTTCCTCTTCCTCAGGGGTCTGGATTGACAAATTAAAATGCAACAATTAGAAACTGACAGTGTATATTTTAGGACTAACATGATTTACAAGCCTTCCTCAGAGTCTTAAACTGCATCACTTATATTTCAGTAGCAGAACTGGACAAAGTTATCGTCACAGAAAGACTATAAAACAAACCTATACACTCGTTTGCACTCACCAGTTTGGCTCCCTTCTTCCTGCCAAGTGGGAGGGCATAGTGAGACTCATACCACTGTCTGTAAGGAGTGCTGTCCACCAGAACAACACAGTTCTTCACCAGGGTCTTGGTTCTCACCAGCTCATTGTTTGAAGCATTGTAGACCACATCAATGATCCTGGTCTTGCGGGTACAGCCTGAAAGTGTAACAATATATTTAAAACACCCTGAAGGCAATCAAAGTTAGAAAAATGTCAATTTTTAAAATTCTTTCTCAGAGTTGGAACATAGATATCCATCATGAACATTCAGTAGCAGAACTGGTCAGATTATCTTCACCGAAAGAACTACAGACAAGGCTTCTGCAGGTTTTTGAAAGCACATTTTAGACTTTATAAAAAGTACAGAAAAAAATTATTAGAAGGAAACCAAACCAATTGTCACTGGTGTCATTTATCAGATTGCATGAGTCAAAAGTGATTTATTTTATACCAAAAGAATTACAATATTAAGGATCTATGAAGACAACTTTAAGTTGTCATTTACAAATAAACCTTTATTTGATTAAAAATATACATTGCTAAACACTTTTTGCACAATTGTAAAGGATATTTTTACATTTAGATTTAAAACAGATTGTAGAACATCTGCATTGTCCCAATATTATAAATCTGTTTTTTTTAAACAAAGTAAACACTACACATCATGATATTTTGTATAATATCCGAGAACAAACTTTTCCAAATTGTCCAAATACATAATTCTATGTAGTATAGGTAACTTAAGAATGAGTAACTTAATTTACGACTTACTGAAAATGTTTTACAAACATAAATCAATAAATAAATCAATCAGACATCTAGTAAATACAACCTAATGGTGAATTTACATAACTTTCCTCAATATAAGAGTTCTCTGATGCCTTTACAGTTTCTATAATGTCACTTTCAAAAACCAAATACTTCAAGTATGAATCCAAAGTAATTTCCAATGAAAATGTAAAAAAAATCCTAACTTAACTTTGAGTAATTGTTAAAACCTGCAGAAACCCACTACACGTAAATTGCCAGCACTAACAAATACAAACTTACATTCTGACCCCCATGAGAAGTTTCCCACATCGAGCCTCAAGGCACGGTATTTCTTGTTTCCACCACGGACTCTTATTGTGTGGATGCGGCGAGGTCCAATCTAAAGAGAGGAGCCAAAACATACCTTTAGACATACAACAAAGACGTATGAAGAGACCATGTGGGTTCAGCCATGTGTCAGTGTAACTATGACGAATCCTAACATTGGAAGGTCAAAGACTTTGACCAAGACGGCCAAATAAGACCAACCTAAGGACATGTTAACATCACCCACATTATCATTTCCCATACTGATGGAAAAGTACACTGAAGAGTGTTTCACCTTGGTGTTTGCTGCAGGACGCCCGAGCTCATACTTCCTTTTCTTGTGGACGGGCTTGCGTTTGCCACCGGTCCTGCGGCGTTTGTGCCAGTTATCCCTTGAGATACCTGTGGTGTAAAGAGATTGAAATGCGTTAGACTTAGTAAACAAATATGAATGCCAGTAGAACGTAAACTCAATAAATGCTTGAGCGTTCAGTTCTCCAAGGTGTTTATCCGCATGGAAAATCGGATTCCGCAATTTGGATTCATCATGTACACTCAAGCTTTATTATCAACCCACAAAAATAACTCTACTCATCGTGTCAAGCCGATGACTCTAAAAGAAAAAAAACATTTAAAAAAATACTATTTTCGAACTTCAAAGAGAGAAAAAAACTGCATTTTAAACTTAAGATTGAGTTTGGACGAATCGTTACTTTAAAAGCAAAGACTTACAAATCAGCAAACTGATTCATTTAACGTTAGCAACAAGCTAACACGACGTGAACTCTTGCCATTACACGCTTCCACCATTAGCGAACAGATAGTGTTGCAATCGCATTTATGACAAGAAATATAAAGTGAATGTTAATTTAACGTTTACAAACTACATAAATCCAGTTCTCGGGTCACGTTAGCTGGCCATGCAGCGTCGTAAGTTGACATGCATCTCACTCGTTTAGCTTAGTTAGCTGTGCTAACTACTTCCCATACACTACACCTCTAAAACACAATATTTTTTTACAGCAATGTTACTTACATACACAGTACTTTTATATTTACAGCTTGCCTTGTACTCGTCCCTGTAACTACAGCTTCGTCTGTTCTCTACACGCTGTGAAAGTGTACTCTCGCATGCGCGCAGCCATCTTGAGCAACGTATCCAGCCACTTTACAGTTTATTTACGCAAACTGTTTTAAAATACACTATATCATGCGATTTTCACCTAAATCTTTTAAATATTACTTCTGTAATACAAAATAAAGTCAGATTAACTATAAACCTCGTCGGATAGAGAAGATGAAGACGGATTGTTCCAGCGATCAGAATCGGAAGACACATACCCATTCTCAGGCGCCGGCTAGAAAGAGGGCTCGCAGAGGCTCATGGGCGGGTTTCAAGCAAACACATATCGCGAGAATACCTGCTGAAGTCGCGACTCGCGAGAGCAGTTCAGTCAGTGGAAGTACATGGGACTGCCACAACGAGCCCTTCCAGTGTTTTGCAGAAACAGTCATTCATTTAGTTACTATAGTGTGTATATATATATGTAAATATATATATAAAACAGTAAACCACTTCAATGTGGTGATGTCATTGGCCCATGAACATTTCCTGCTTGTTATCAAACTATTGTCTTAACTCGTGGGAAATCTCTTTTTATTGATAAGTGGTTTGAAAGAGGAATAGTTTTTGTTTTGGACTTATTTAAAAATGATGGCAATATTTTGGAATATGAAGAATTTAGGACATTGTATAACTTCCCTTTGCCAGCTAAATCCTTCAACTGTGTTATAAAGAGTTTGTCACAAAGTTATGTGCATTTATTAAAGACTTTTCTTTACTTTAATGAGAGGGAAACAATTATGCCTAAACTTTTTTTGGATGGAGTGTCTTTTTTTGATAAAAAATGTGACAACAGACATGTCAGACGATTGTTACATTACTCTATGTACCACCCCAAGATGTAAATTTTTTTGGACCAACTTCTCTGACTGCATTCAATGGAAGAGAGCATGGTTATTACCTGAAAAATTCAGCATATCCAACAAAATAAGAGAAATACATTTTAGGATCTTGCATAATGTTTATCCTACAAATTCCCAAATTGCTAATTATTTTGATATATCTAATTTGTGTACTTTCTGCAATATACATGAAAAGACTTTATTTCACTTATTCTATATTTGCACTCACATTAAACATCTTTGGAATGACATTATT